TAGTAATAAGAAACGATATTATTTTTACTATTTGAAGTTTTAGAAATAGCCTTTGTCTAATATGAATTAAGATTTCATATTATATCTAAGTTGACTAGGAGAAATTTAAGAAAAATTTAATAATATGAAAAAACTATTTTAAAAAGAATTTAATCTGAGAGTAGAATTCATAAATATATATAATATAAATTAAATTTTTTATAATTCTTAATTACTCTTATGTTTAGATAATTTTTTATTAAAAGTCTTATAATTGAAAGAAACATTTTAATAACATTGAAAAACATTTAATAGAATATTTTTGAAAATTTAATTGATAAATGATTGAAAAGATATTAAATTAAAAGATAATCATTGAAAAGTAAAGATTTAGTATTAATTATTGCATAATGAAGGTTTTTTAGTATAAGTAAGTTTTTTTTAAATAACAAACCTTTAAGTTGAATTTAAGAATATTTTTTTGGTATTAGTTTTAATAATACAACATTGTATTTGTCTTAAATAATGGAAATTAAGATGATGATATGAATAATATTATTATATAGTATAGAAATAATCTAGAAGTTGCTTGTTCTAAAAAATCAGTATATAGATGAGTCACAAAATTCCAATAATTCAACTTTATAATCTAAAACGAGTAATTAATTTGGGATAAGAATTTTAGTTATAAGAAATAATTTTTTTTTTAAATAAGAAAAAAGGAAGAATATTTTGATGTAGGTAATAAGGGAAGGGTTTATAAAATATTAAAGTGAAATTATTAATTAGACAAATTTTGTTTGATTAGATTGTTTAAATACTAATGTGTGAGTTAATTTATAATATTGATATATTCAATAATGCTTAGTGTTAAGGTTAGAATTCTCATCATCCTCATCTTCATCATTCCATAAACCAATTGCTTTATATAATGCTCCAAAATCTATTACAAGGACACGTTCTCCTTTAAGAACACTTAACATGTTGTATTGTAATTCAATAATGGAATTGAACATGCTAACAACAATTCTTTAAAGCTTCAAAATAATATTTTTTGGAATTTGAAAGAGAAGCCGAAATCCTAATCCAATAATAGTCAAGAGGAAAATGATAAGTATTTTAATACAATTATATAACATATTATTAATATATATAAATATATTCAAATTGATTAAAATTATGATGATGATTAAGGTGTAAGAGGTTGTAGATAATATGGTAATTAATTATGATGTTAACTATTAGATTACTGATATTACTGCTGCATTTATTGTTAAAATTATTATTATTAATTTTAGTAATACATCTATTAATATAATAATTATTATTGCTACATAAGATTAGCTTTTGACTATTGTTTTGGAGATTCCAAGCAGCCAAGAGGCTCCCTTAAAATAATATAATAGATTACCAAAGATTCTCATTATTTTGATATTTCTTAACAGTGTATTTAGAATCAATTGGTTCATCATCTTAATATTTAGGTGGAAAGATAGTATCTATAGTCAATTTAAAGGCATCATCTAATAATAAAATTATAATGAGAAATTATTTACCTAGCATTCTTGGAAGTAATTATTATAGAATGCTGCTTGATTCCTCAATACATGGATTAGTATTAACTTCTATAAGCCAAGTTTTAAAATCATTATCAATTATAAAATCATATCCAAATATTTCCATACAATATCTTCTTTATGATAGATTTAATTTTCTTTTGACTGATTATAAAGATGTCCATACAAGTTATTTCATTTTAGGTACATGAGTACCATAAAAATCTACTTTAAATCCTTATTCATTTAAATAATTTTAAAAATCATCAAATGATAGTTGATTTCCATCTTCGAATTCTCCATATTTATCACTATACTTTTAAATAGCATTATTAGTTAGATGAATAAATTAATTATGAACATTATCAGTAGTAAAGTTTTCACTTGAAGTTCTAATATATCCTTCCTTAAAAAAATAACAATTCAAATCCATTGTTACTAATACCCAAATTCTTATATCAAATTTTCTATTGTTAATTAAAAAAGGATGTTCAATATATTTCTAAATTACAAATGAATTTGCTTTTATTCCATTTTTTTTCTTTTATTCTTCCAAATCTTCAGCTGATCCTAATTATAATTCACTTATTAATTATATTATCACTTCAATATCATTTACTACATGAATCCCTCTCCCTCTATTTAAAAATGTAGGTTTAAGTAACCAAAGATATTGATCGCCTTCTTAACATTTTGGTATTTTCTAAGGTATAGAATGTAATTTCTTATCTAATTATGGAGTACTCTATATCTATTATTTTTATTTTTTTCAATATACTTTTAATTTCTTTTTAAACTCTTATAACTTTTTTGGCAACTATTCTACTTTTTTATCTTTTGGAGCAAATTTATCAAAAAATTTAATAAATTATGTAAATTAAGAATCTATTGATTCATCATTGAAATCTAAAACAAATGTGACAGGAACAAAATCAAAAACATTTTATTTATTATTCTAAAAGTTTATCCATATAGATATTACTTCACATAATTAGCATAAATTTCGAAATAGATATTATTTATTAGAAATTTCAAAATGTTACTCAAAGTGATTTACACATTATTTGAATTAACTATTTGCTATCAGTCTATCATATTTATATCCTCTATTAGTTTATTACCATCTGAAATTTATACTCATTGAATTACTTTCTTTGCATAGATGCCATTCTGTTCTTCCATCCATTATTCTCTGTACTAATTCATGATTATTTCCTTAACCTAATGAATATTTATATCCATCCAAAATCTCAGGAATAATTATTTCCTGCTTTTCTCTTTACCTATGAGTGAATTGATCTTTTGAAAACTTCATAGATCTGGCAATCAAAATCATAGAACCAGGTACTTGATATTTTAGTAGACTACTGGGCTTGGTCAAACATTTACTTGATCTATCTGGAGACTCTGGTTATTCTTACAATCGAGACTTCGATTATCGAAAACCTTTTATAAAATATTATTATTTGACAACTACCTTTCTAACCTCGCAATTTAGGTAATCTGAATTCATTTCTTATTGGAAAAGCAGAACCATTTATTGCCAAAAACATAAAAATAAATTAAAAATATATTTTAGAAGTACTATTTATAATTTAAAATCATTTCTCTTTTATCAATTCATAGTGCATATTATTTTTATTTTAATCTTCTCACTATTTACCCTATTTTTAATTATCAAATATTAAATAGAGATTAATTATTAATACTTTGATTAAAATAAAATATTATTAAACCAATATCAATCATTTTTGATAAGCTAAATTCTAATTTTTTTTCGATGGAAACAGCAAAAAAAATTTTAAATGTTTATGAACCCCATTATGTCAACTAATATTTTCAACAATGCCCTAATAAAATCCAAAAAAATAAAGATAGAATTCAATGTTATCCAGATAAAATAAAAAAAATAGACAAGAATTTTTGCATTTATTTTCTCAGACATCAATAAGACCATTTGAAAATCATTAATGATAAAAAGATTGTAATAAAATTGTTTAGAGCTATTTTTACTGATTAAATATCTACAAAACAAAAATTTTACTTAATAAAAAAAACCCATCCTACAATAATGATTAGGATTCCCTCAAATTCAAATTTAGCTGTTATATTCAAACAACTAATTGAAAGACAAAAAATTAAATATTATTTTATAATTTTTAGGTTTTTAATAAATTTTGGATATCTACCTGACATGCAATAGCATAATTAATTAGATAAAATTTTATTCTTGTTAAAATAATCAATTTTTGTATAAATTTTAGGATTTTTTGAAGATTTAATAAATATTATCAATGATTTATGCTATAATAATAAGAGAATTTATAATAAAGAAAAATCTAGAAATAAAATTTTTAATAAATTTCATAAAAATATTAATTAGAATCAGCTATTTTATGGATCATTTGTGTCTTTTTTATCATTAATTTATTTTATTTAGAAATATTTATTTTCTACCTTTTATATGAGCACAATTGTTGCAATAATGAAAAGAAATGAGAAAATAATCACAGCAATAAATATTAAAGCCAAATATCCCCCTTTAAGTGAGGATTATTGAGAATCATTTGAGGGTAAATACACAGTTGAATATTAGACTTTGTTAGAGTCAAAGTTATTTTTTATTTCTAATTTTGGAATAATATTTCTTTCACCTAATAATCTCCTCCTAGAATTTTATTAAAGGGAAGAACTTATAGTGATATTATAACTTTAATTTTAGTTAAAAGCATTTTAGTCGTAGGAGAGAATAAGTTGAATAGTGGATCCACTTTATTATTAATCTTCTAACTTTAAAGGAATACTAGTTGAATTTTAAGTTATTGATCCATTTAAAAAAGTACTTTCATAATTTTAATAATTTGGATCCATAATATTCTAAGAGGTTTGTACTAATTTATTATTGGTATCAATGACAGTACTTGAAGAATCACTAAAAATAATGATTGGTCCCACTATAAAAGGTTCATTATTTGATGTTGGCATTTCAAAAATCTAAATAGAATTTGTGTATGATTGTGTTGATTTTAATACTTCTACCTAAGAAATCAACATCAATAAGTATTAGCTTACTTTATTCATTGATATAGAAAATCCAATAAAACATTAATATACTATCTTTTCTGCAGTTTGAATATTTTGACAGCTTTAAAATTGTTCTGGTGTCAAATAATATTTTAAAATTTTGTTATCACTTTCATGTAAACTTACCTATTCTTTTTTTAAAATTGTTGTTATGGTATTATCTTCTATAGATTTAGTTAAATAAACCTTAGGAATAAGACATCCATTTAAGGGAATATTAAAATTAGATGTTATTAGTAAATTAGTAGTGTTAAGTTCAATTTCACTTGAAGAGCTAATGTGAGAACCAAAAGTTAATTATGAGATTTAATCTACACATTTTAAAGGCACACATCTGTAGTTAAATAGAAAATAATCCTATAAACAATTTTTACAAGTATTGTCAGAGTGGCATTCTTGGCAATTTAATGAGCAGTCAGAACTTATTGAAATCTCAGATAAAACCAATCCAAATGTTAAAATTTTTAAGCTGATTGAACTTGAGTCAATTTCTTATTATATCCAGAATGAATTAGTTGTTAATTGTTATTTTAAGTTATTCTTGTTTATTTCAATTTCAACTTATTAACCAATTGCTGGAGAGTTGAAAGTGATATTAAATATCAAATTACCTTAAAAAGATGTTTCAATATCTTTAATTAAGCAAAGACCTTCTTTTGGAACTTAATAACATTCTTACCAATTCAATTCTCCTTCTTAACACTTAAAAGGAACAATATTTGCTTTGGTTTGACAATTAAGCCATAAATTGTCTTCCCATTATGTGTTTTAAACACTATTAAAAGTCGGATATATTGCTTTGGGACTAGTTAAATACATAGCTGAAGCTATTAGTATAGATTTAATGATTTGAAGCATAAATAATATCAATATTAATACAAAGCAAAATAGAATAAGTTCCTTTATTAATTTATGAATAAAATTGATATAAAAATAAACTAAATAATTAATTAAAAATAGTATTAAATTATAAAATGTATTTTGAATAACAATTATAGCAAACATTTTTTGAACAACAAATATCTGGACATTCTATATTTATAAAACTTAATAATGGTGAATTTGTGGCTAAATCATGTTCAATGGAAAATAACAATGAGCAAAAGTAGAGATCTAGAATATTTTAGTTTTTATGAATGGATTTAACAGATATAAGGGTATGAAGATTTCTTTTCTAAATATAATGGGATTATTAAATTGGATGGAAGTAAAGTTATTGAATAGCCAAAGGTGGATAAACTATAATAGTAATGGCTTGATTCTTTAATTGAGAGAAGATTTAATCGAAACAATAAAAGTAAAAAAATGTTGTAGAGTTATAAGAATATTTGCTTTTAGAAAATTTGATAAAAAATTAGAAGAACCTTAGAATAATGGATATCAAATTGGGATTTACTGTTGAAAAGGAATCGCATATCATGCGTTATTAAGAATCAACTTCATCAAAAATTGGTTTAAGAATTTGTGGAATGAAAATGCAAGAAGATGATGAAACAATAGTTTTTAGAGACAAACTTTGGGGTAGATAGATATCTGTTGATGAATTAATGGAAGCATTCAAATAATTTTTTAATACTAAAAGAAAGGATTGTAATTTATATGATGAAATAATTAGAAATGATATTAAATTTGAGCTAAAAAGTTGAGTAGTTGAAAATTTTTATAAAATAAAATTGTAAGGAAGTGATTTCTTGGTAAGGAACAAGTTTACTAATAATTTGTGATAATTTGGATGATGTAAAAATTCGATTGATTGATTTTTCAAAAGCAAGAGTAGATAAGGAATCAAAGAAATGTAATGAAGAAATAATAAAGGCTTTGAATAGTTTATAGGAATTAGTGAAATAGATTTGATGAAATGATGTAGTTATTATTTTTGGGATATGCTATGATTTATAATACTATTGGAAATAAATGAAATATAAAAGAAAATAATCAAATCCATAAAAAGTTTTTATATTTAAAATAATATGTAAGGAGCTCCAGTAATAGTAGTGAATGCTAACACGAAGAGAGAATAAGGAAGAAAGGCATAGTTGGGGAATATATAAGCAGCAAAAGCAGTATCAGATATAGTATTAACTACTCTTGGTCCTCGTTCAATGTTAAAAATGTTATTAGATCCAATGGGTGGAATAGTGATGACAAATGATGGGAATGCAATTTTAAGAGAGATAGATGTATAACATCCAGCAGCTAAGAGTATGATAGAGTTGGCAAGAGTATTATTATTAAATTAAAATAATAAAAGGCTTAAGATGAAGAAGTAGGAGATGGAACAACATCAGTTATAATATTGGCAGGAGAAATGATGATTGCAGCTAGACCATTTATAGAAAAGAATATTCATCCAACAGAAATTGTTAATGGCTATTTCAAAGCATTAGAAGATTCAATAAAAATATTAGATGAAATCGCATTGTAGATTGATACGCAATAAAAAGAAGAAGTTATGAAAGCATTGTAATCTTGTATTGGAACTAAATTTGCATTTAGATGGGGAACATTAATTAGTGATCTTTCATTATAAGCTACAAAAATTGTTTTAAGAGGTGGAAATATTAATAAATTAAATTTGGAAATTAAAAGGTATGCAAAAGTAGAGAAAATTCCAGGAGGAGTTTTAGAAGAATGTTGTGTACTTGAAGGTGTTATGATTAATAAAGATGTTACACATCCAAGAATGAGAAGAGAAATTAAAAATCCTAGAATTATTTTATTAGATTGTACATTAGAATACAAAAAGGGAGAATCTATGACTAATATGGAAATGACTAAAGAATCAGATATGACCGATGCACTTTAATAGGAAATAAATGAAGTAGCATTTATGTGTAATGATATTTTAAAACATAAACCTGATATTGTTATAACTGAAAAAGGAGTCTCAGATTTAGCATAACATTTCTTACTTAAAGCAAATGTTTCTGTTATAAGAAGAGTCAGAAAAACAGATAATACTAGAATTGCAAGAGTTTCTGGTGCTACTATTGTAAATAGACCTGAAGAATTATAAGAAACAGATGTTGGTACTTTATGTGGAACATTTGAAGTTAAAAAAATAGGAGATGATTATTTTGCTTTCTTTGTTGATTGTTAGAATCCTACTGCTTGTTCTATTATTTTAAGAGGAGCATCAAAAGATGTACTTAATGAAATGGTAATTATATATTCAATTAATTTTATAGGAAAGAAATTTGCATGATTGTTTGGCTGTTGCTAAAAATATTTATTAAGATCCAAAACTTTTACCTGGAGGAGGAGCTGTTGAAATGGAAGTTAGTGCTAAATTATTAGAAAAAGCTAACAAAGTTGAAGGTTTAGGATAATTACCTTATAAAGCAGGTATGTATTAATCAATTTATATATTATAGTTGCTTATGCATTAGAAATTATTCCAAGAACTCTTTCAGCTAATTGTGGTGCTGATACTGTTCGAATTTTAACTGAATTAAGAGCTAAACATAGTGAAAATGGAGGACTCTATTATGGAGTTGATGGAAATACTGGTAAAATAGCAAAAATGAATGAAATTAATGTTTGGGAACCACTTTCAGTTAAAAAGTAATTTATATTTGTATATAATATATTTAGATAAGTTTTTAAAACTGCCATTGAATCTGCTTGCATGTTATTAAGAATTGATGATGTTGTTTCAGGAATTAAAAAGAAATAATAATAATCAGGTAGATAAGGAGGTGAAGAAGAACCACAAGAAACTTTTGGAGATTAAAGAGATGGTTGATATTGTGTTAATATATTAAGTATGTATAAATGTCTTATACCATTTAAAAAAATATTGAATAAAATATGTTTATTTTCCAATTAAAAAATGTGTATTTTATATATGCTTTTTAACTCCACAATTAATGATATTCAAATAAAATAAATATTTGTTTCAAGTTGTCGTTTTTATATTAATTTTTATATAGAGTTCTTATGTGAATTACCATTAATTTATATCTATATATTTTATTTATTTCATAAATCTTAAGAAAGATGAGTACAGGATTGGCAAAACCAAAAAAGTTGAAATTAACAGATTATGAAGTGTTTCAAACACTTGGAACAGGTATACAATTTAAATTAAAATATATAGGATCATTTGGACGAGTTAAATTGGCAAGAAACAAATAAACCAATAAATATGTTGCTTTGAAAAGTTTAAAGAAAGCTGAAATCATTAGATTAAAATAAGTTGATCATGTTATTAATGAAAATACTATATTGGGCAACTTATCCCATCCTTTTATTGTAAATTGATTGATCTAATTATAATAGGTCAATTTTGAAGGATTTTGCCAAGATCCAAGATACTTATATTTAGTATTAGAGTTTGTCTCAGGAGGTGAATTATTTACCTATTTGAGAAGTATTGGAAGACTTGATACTTAACATGCTGCGTAAAATATTACATTAAAATTTCTATTTTAGTTTTTATGCTTCATAAGTTGCTTCAATTTTTGAATATCTTCATTCCAAAAATATTGTCTATAGAGATTTAAAACCAGAAAATTTATTAATTGCTGATGATGGATACTTAAAGTTAACAGATTTTGGATTTGCTAAAGTTGTTGAAGGAAGAACATATACTTTATGTGGAACTCCAGAATATTTAGCTCCAGAAATCTTATTGAATAAAGGACATGGTAAAGCTGTTGATTGGTGGACTTTGGGAATATTAATTTATGAAATGAATGCAGGAATTGATCCTTTCTCTGATGAAGATCCTATGGCTATTTATTAAAAAATTCTTAAGGGCAAAGTTAAATTTCCTAAATCATTTGATAAGTATTCCTTATTTACTATCTTAGAAATGCTAAATCATTAGTAAAACATCTATTAGTTGCAGATTTATCAAAAAGATATGGAAACTTAAAAAATGGTAATCAAATATCCTTATCTCTATTATAGGAGCTGCTGATATCAAGAGTCATAGATGGTTTGGAAATCTGGATTGGAATTTATTAACCCAAAAGAAATTACCAGTCCCTTATAAACCTGTTGTTAAGTAATTATTATTTTCATTTCTTTTTAGAGCTGCAAATGATACATCAAATTTCTCATCCTATCCAGAATCTGATACCTAAAGTCCTGCCCTTAAACCAGCTGATGATCCCTTCCTTGAATGGTGAAATATACATTATGATAAATAAATACGTAAAGAAAATTAATCAATAATTGTTTGTTTACACATTTAATCTTATTTTATAAATAACACTCTAAAACCTGTTATGCTCAAAAATATATGAATAAAAAATACATCTAATCTAGATATATACTTATTCTATAACTAAAATACAATTAAATTAATTAAATATGTATGAAGGTTTAAATAAAAAAAGTCTTAATCTTTTTGGTTCTTAAAACATTCCTAAAATTGTAAAGACATCAATTATATGTGATTTAAATAAATGTACTTAAAATTTATTCTTTTTATTATGCATTTATAAAAATGATGTCATTTCATTTCCATTGCTACTTATATACAATATTTTTATTGCTACAAGGAAAACTTACATTTTCAACAATTTAAAAAATTTCATTAGTTTGAATTAAATGGAGAAGACTAAAATTGATAAGCTAATAGGTTTTTTGTTTCTACTTTTTTTTATGAAAATCAAGAGTCAAAAATTGACAAAAAAGAAGTCAATTATCAATATATTCAATAAGGCAAGTTTCATTTAAAAATAAAGGCATTTAACAAAAAATTAGTGAAATCAATGCCTTGAATTTAAATAACTAGAAATTGAGAATCATTGTCTATCAATATTTTGCAGCTAAATAAACTTTAAATTATATCATGTTTGTACTTATATGCACAGTATACAAAAATTGTTAGATACAAAAGAAGAAATATTATAGAAAATTTTCAAGCTATAGTCATCAATATAGTCATAACAGTATGAATTAAAGAAGTTGGAAAATCATATAAAGCTGATATCTTCGATGATAGTCATATTTAAAATCAACAATATCAAATAAAATAAAAATGAGATGTTTTAATTAAAGACTTATAAATGTTGAAAATTATTCAAAAATTTTATACATTATTGATAACTTAATGTATATTATAATTTCTTATCGTTAAAATAATTAATCAGTTTCTCCATTTTATTTTATATACTTAATATAATGAATAATGTCAAATGAGATTTAAATAGGAATATTTTAAGCAAGACTTAAATAGTAAAAGTTACTCTTCTTTTTAAATATCTGTAAAAAAGATCTGCTTAAAGAATAAAAGCTTGTTATAATTATATAAATAAGTTTTAAAAAATAGAAGAATGTAATTTTTAAAGTCTGACCAACATTAGCATGAAAAAATTCTTAGATTTAGATTGATGAGTATATATATTATTATTTGATTAATTTGGATTGTTTTCAAATTAAATACAGTAAATATGAAACTTAATGAGGGTGAGAAAGTATTGATAGAGAATAGAAAATAAGAGGATCATTATAATAATTCAGTGTATTAAACATATTCATTATTCAAAGAAATTCAATGATTACCCTATAAAAGAATTCAAATTTTCTTGTAGTCTAACTAAGCTGTTGGAGCTAAGTTTTATGTAAAGGTTTGAGGATTAGAAACTTTATTTTCTTGTAAGAAAATTTAACAGAATGACTGTTGTTGTTAATTACTCTTATTATCCTTAACTTCCTTTTTACGATTATACTCTAACAATTTGACAAAGTCGATTTCAATATTTCTTTAAGGCTAGCTTCTCTAAAGTGGATAGTTGTGTTTTTTTGATGAGCACACCCCCATATGATTTGTAGTAATAATAATTAATTGTTTGTGAGTTGATATTACCATATCAAGCAATTAATGAGAATTCATATCTTTTGTGAATATTTTAAATTAGAATTATTGATTTCTTGACATATATTCTATAAAATAGTAAACTTACAATATAATTTATCTTTTCTATAAAAAATCTTAATAATTTAGTGAATTTTTTTCATTATTCACAAAATCCCTATCAACCCTTTGCTCTTTTTTTGAAAATTATTAAAGATTTCAATATTTCAAATTTATTGATATCGAATTTCTGAATATCATCCTTAAACTCTGATAGAAATTGTTGAAAATATTATTTAAAATATTTATATAATTATACATCATTTGAAATTTGTACATAAATTCTTTCATATTAAATATTAAAAAATATGGTATTTAAACAGATAGATTTAATCAGAATTATTATCTTAATAAAGCATTCAAATATTGTTTTTATAATTTATATAATTATTAATTCAATATACTCAATTTTTACATATGCTTTTAGAATTAAGATTAGAATAATAAAAGAAAATAACATAATAATAACTAACCTCAGCTTTTTATACATTTGAAAATTTGGTTAAATAAGCTTAAAGTTTAAAATTACCAAAAAAATATTTAAATGTTAAAGATTATTTAAAAGAAAAATCAAAAAAAATTAAGATTTTAAAATCAAATCAAGTTTAGGAGAAAAACCTATTCAAGAGATTTGTTTCTCAAATTGTGTTTAGAAATATCATGTTATTTTTAACTTCATAAGATATCAAGTAGTTAAGATTGACATGTTTCTTCACAAATTATTTAATAGAAACTAATTTAGAATTTTTATATTATCGTAAAATATAAAGGGCTAATTATTTAGAATAATTAAATATAAGCGATTTTGAATTACCTTAAATTCCACAATTAAGAAACATTCCAAAATTATTAAAAAAATTATTAAAAGAATTATAAGGAAAAGTGGTTTCTAATGGAAAAATGACTAAAATTCCTGAAGAACTATTATCTTATTTAACTTTAATTCTTGATCTTCATTAGAATGAAACAAGTAAATGTAATTTAGATTAAAAAAAAAGTTATTCATCAAAATCTGATATCATAATAAAAGCTATAAAATTTATATCATCTAAATCCTTAAATTGGTATGGATTATGTGAAAAAGATAAAAGAATTTTAAAGAGCTTTAAATCTAAAAAGTATGAAAAAAATGAACTCATTTTAGGGTAAGAATTCAATGATTTAAAACAATATATTCTAAATCTTTTAAGTTTTACTTCACGTTTAGATTATTAAATAATTTGTGATGCTTTTAATAAAGATTAATTAATTAAAAAAAATCAAATTTAGTTGAAATTTTTAGAAAATATGATAAAATAAATGAAAGCAAAATAGAACTAACTAAGTAAAATTTCAGAATTAGGAAATTTGTTTTTTAAAACAATATTATCATATTGTTCTCTTGAAGACATTATAAAAAGCAGATTAGTATGTGATAAATTTAATCAAGAATTTAAAAAAAATGCCAGCTATCATTATTAAATTTCATATTCTAGAATAAAAACTAATTTTGATCTGTGTATGACTGAAGATATATTTTTATAAAAGCCTAAAGGATAAATTAGTTTGATGGAATTTTTTTACTGTATATAAAAAAATGTTGACTTAAATAGTAATATAGATACTAAAGATCTCTTATAAATAAATTGTTCAAAAATAGCTCAATTCCTTTTTAAATCTAAAACTTTTAATGACCTTTATTTCACCTGTCTAGATTTCTTAATAGAAAGATTAGGAATGGATATTTTCCTTCGAAACTATTATGAAAATTTTCTCAAGAGTTTGGAAAAAGTATAAAATTGCTTATCAGATTATTATATTCAAATACCTCATTTTCAGAAGTAATTACTATATTTAGAGAATAATTGCCATAAAGAAGAAATTTGATTTTAATTATTTTTATAAATTTAAATACTTTCACTTTCAATAAGCTCATAATTTTTTTATGATTATTTAAAAAACAGAATGACCTTTCTTTGAAAGGAATAAATAATTAAAAATTTTTCATACAGAAAATTTAATTAATGAGTATTTTTTTTATATTTTTTAATAGATTAACTCTTTTCTAATAATTTCTATAATTTAAATGGAGTAGTTATATATTCTTAATAATATTATTAAGAAGAAAGATATGCAATTCTAAATAACTTCTTAGGATTAATTTTGACATGACTGAGCCAAATTTAACTGATGATTTCCAATTTTTAATTTATTTATTGATTTATTCCAGATTCTTTCATTATTTATTATTTTAAAAGTTATAAATCTTTTCAAATAACTTATATCTAATAAGAATGCGAATAAAAAAATTAATAGTTTAAGTTTATAACATAGAGTAAAAAAATAATCATTTCAGACAGAATAATATTTAAATACTATTTGGCAGAAGTTGAAAAAAGAAGGTAACATGAGATTAACATTATGTCATAATATACAAAAGCATTTAAATTCTGCAAATATATAAATAATAAAAAATCAAATGTTTTTGAGCAGGAATTTTTCAAAAAAAATATTTGAATGATGGTTTTGTAAAAGTAATAATAAGACCTTAATGCATATCTCAATATGGTTTTTGAGTTTACTATAAATTTGATAAATTTTAGAGATATTAATTAAAACAAAAAAAATATCATCATCCAAAATCAAATGTCATCCTCCACATCCTCAGTTAGTAATTCAGGATTATTTTCTTAATCTACTTTAAACAGCATCTAAACCTACTATGATATAGAATTAGAATAAGAAGAATTGGAAGCTGAAAAAGAGATATTTGCTTAAATGTTTGAAGTTAATTATAACACAACTAATTTGTCCATCTAGGTTATGGAAGAGTCTTTTATTTTAAGGTAAAATATCTAAAAAGAATTATTTTTATTAGGAAAACAAATAAACTTAGGATGCTAAAACGAAAACTTCATAAACTGATGAGAGTTTAAAAAAGTGGAAGGAAAGTGGTTGAAATTTAAAGAAAGGAAGAGGCTTAAATTGGGATAAGATAATTTAACTAATTTAAATATTATGAGAATTAAGAAGGCTAATATTATGATGTAGGAGGTAATAAGAATTAAAATATTAACAACTTTAATTACCAGGCTATGAAAGAACCTATAATAAAACCAGATATTAGTATTATATCGTCGATATCAACATAGCATTCAGGTTTACTATTTTTTATAATTTTAGCATCACAGCCTAATATATATAATATCAACGATATAAATAATATTAAGAATACAAATATTGATATTAATATTAATTTAATAAACAACAATGATTAAATTAATAATACTAATAATGATTAATGTGAGGGAATTGTGTAAAATGCATTTGAATAACATGATCCAAATGAATAGTTTTAGTAGCATTAGTAGAAGTGAAATAAACCCTTCAAACTTGTAGCTACAGTTATGAGGGGTTGAAAAAGCCGTGCGTACACTCAAAGAAGTGACAAAGCTTTCATCAACACCTATAAATTATTATTTTTAAAAATATATATTTTGCTTCAAGAATTTCTTTAATTAATTTTAAAATCCATTGATTCTATTTGTAATTATTTCAATAGAATAACTCAAGGTTTTTAAACTTTTATTAATATTTTTTTTAATTAAGTAATAAGAAACAACGAAAATGGACATCTAAAATGAATCATAAGACTTTTCCAAACTTAATTCTCTTCAAACTAAAGATATTACAGAGTATCTATCCAAAGATTATTATAACAAATTTAAAATGGAATAAAATTTATATGATCAATCAGCCACACTCTCTAGACTATCAATTATTGATAAAACAAGTGATGATTTTATTAATAATACTCAATTAAAAGCTATATGTTGTTCAGAAAGGTTATCTGAGGAAATATATAAAAATTAAGTATAAATTTTCAATTATGATTAGATTTTAGAAAAATAGATTACTAATTTATAATAATAATTAAAATTGGCTATTAATCACATTTCCATTTTATAAAATTAAATGGAATAAAAATAGAAAGATATCGATCTATTATAGAAAAAATTAGAAGAACAAATTAATAAGAATGAAAATGAGAAAAAAAATTATTCATAAACTTAATTAAAGATTGATAAATAATAAATATGCTTAAAGTATTCATGATAATTAAATTAGGGACTAAAAAAAATCTTCAAAAATAGTTCAGAAAAATTAATTTTATTGTTATTTAAAAAATCTCTCTAAATAATATGCAAAGAATAATTTAACAAACTAAAAGTCTACATAATCTGATGTCTCTATCAAAAGATTTTAGAATACCTAAGTAAATTTTACTGAAGATTATTAAATGAAAGATGCATCGATCAGTGACTAAAGATAAATGTTAAATTTATTAAATTCAAAATCTAATTCCAATTTTAATTTAAGTGGAAAAAAATTTTTGTCTCCTTCTAAATTTCAATCTTGTTCACCTTAAAAACAAAACAATTTAAAACAAAAATTAGATATTACTATAACTCAAATCTAAGCCATGCAATAGCAATACAGTTAAATCTTACAAACAAAATGAAGAATAAACTTTATCTAATTTATAATTAAAATTTTAAATATTTATTGATATAAAATTTAATTTATTTTGCGATCATTTCTTCTAACTGTCAATACTTCTTCTTTATATAGTTATAAATAGAAATAAATCATTTATTTAATAATATTTTAATGAATAGAAATTTGCTGAAGAAATCCAAAAAGACATTAAATAAGTTAAATATTACCCATTAATAATCAATATAAGATTGAATATCATAATATAATTTATTTACTCTATAAACCTTTTTACTAAATCTTTTTTAGTTTTAATTCATAATAATCATCAAAAAAGATGACTGAAAAAGGAATCATAAATATGGACTAGCTTATAGCATGATTTTTTTTGTTCATATAATATTTTCCTACAGTTACTGTCAAAAACATCATAAAAATAAGAACAAAGAATATTCCAATAACTGTAAACTATGCAAATATTAAATAAAAATACAATTAATTAGTTTAATTATTATATTGTAACATTTTTTAAGTCTTAATAGAATTCATCATTCAAATTTTCGATGAATTCTGAAAAGATTAAAGCTCCTTCTAATTCATATTTATCATAGCCTATCTTTTCACTAAATTAATTTAGATCTCTATCTGTTTTTATTGAATTTAATATGTAAATGAGAGCAGAAGATATTCCTTATTATAAATTTTAGTTAAGTGATTAATTACAAATCTAAGTTGATTTATCATATATTTCATCATTAATATATTAACATAGATTAGCAGTTTGAAGAAAATTATATTTATCCATAAAATTCTAAGATAAAATACTAAATTATTTAATATAGATACTTATCTTAATCATTTTAAATATTAATGAAATTTTCTAATCTTTTAAGAGAATTTTCAATTTCAAAAATGAACAAATCTTTGTCTGTTTTATTAAGAAATGTAAAATTTGTGATTCCATACAATACACTAATATGCGAATACAATGTAGGAATATCAGTACCAACATCAGAAAGTTTTCTATAAAACAAAGCTGTAGGCTGATATGAAATAATATACTATGACATCATCCAATATATGTACGTACCTTAAACTAACATAAGAAACATAATCAAATAAGATAATATCCGAATAGATAAGTCTCCTACTTAAATTTTTATATCTTTATTGTTTTTTTTTGTTTACATTTGATCTTTTGATTTTGTCAATGTTTAGCTTGACTTTATCAAATATTTTTCTTTTTCATGCATTAAAAACTAATATTTGAACAAATTATCACTATCTTAAAGAATAAACTTGGTTAACTATTAATAGTTATGAATATCTAAATAATAAGTTTCATTTGGACATGAAAACAACAATCTTAAATACTTTAAATGCTATTTTTCAACAATTCTTATCAAAATAATAAGAACAATAAGGTTTACAATTATCAATATAAATTATATCAAATATAGCACTCTTTATTAAGTTAGAATAAATATTGAATTTATTTGAGATTGTTCATAGATATCATCATTTAAAATTTGAAATTCTTACTTGAGATTGAACGAATTCTTATAACAATAAAAGATATAAGTACTATCAGGTTTTGGTAGTTTTTTTTCAACATAAAATTACTTTAATGTATATTAGAAATCTAATAAAATATTAATACAACTCCTTATTGAGATTTCATATATTTCCCCTTTATCAGAATCAGTGTATTATAATACAGTGATGTTGATTGAAGAAATAAACATTTATAATTCTTTTTTATTTACAATTTCATTTAAATTAGAAAATAATCTCTAAAATTATATTGGAATTGTATATTCTGGAAACACCAATAACTGGTTATATTCATCCTCATCTAAAAGGTTTTTTTGCTTCATTTTCATGTAATTGAAAATAATCCATCGATTTACCCAAAATGTTTCTAAAGGTTAAAAAGCTTGGTTTTTAACTTAGAGTAATTCTATATCGTTCACTAATTAATGTAAACTACTATAAAGACTTTAAATTATCTATTATTTAAATATATTTTACGATGTAAATAATGATTGTATGAGCAATCAATGAAAGCAAGGCTATTTTTAAGAATAAGCATGATCCTTATTGGCATTATTTTTTATTGACATTATTGAAGATTTCATATTTCTTAAAATGCTGAGATTATTTTAGATTTTATACAGAGGATACTTAGGATCTCTTACAATCTTCTTCTTAATTGCTATCATTAATTGCTAGAATTTCTTTTGCCATGTCTATACTACATTCCTCTTTTACATATGATAATTTTTTTTAAGAATTCCTACAATAGTATTATTGTTGGGTTAATAATTGATCATATGATTAACTATTAATTGGACTAATCAATGTAGAATTATTTTAGCTTTTAGTTTGCAGATTTTAATTTCTTTTTTATTTATCTTATGTAATTGAAAGTTAATTATGAGAAAATTATTGAAATTAAAAAAAATTAGAATTTACTCTATGTCTTTAATTTTTATCATCCATAATATAAGGTTTAAAGATATTAACTTCTTCTTTGAACATGTCAGATAGACTGTCATCTTCAACCTTGATATTCATTTCAATTCTCTTAGGATCTGTTTTATAGATATCTTAACTTAAAACACCATTTGATATACTCTACATCATCTAATTATAAGTATAATTTAAACTCATTTTTTTAATAAATTGAAATGTTAATAAGTAATAAATAATTTTACCTTTTAATTCTTTTATTTTAACATTGACTGTAGTAATAATTGAATATGATTTCAAAGTACTATAACTACTTTATTAAGATAACATTTCAACATTTTCTAGAACCTGACTATATTCTATAGTATCAATTGAAGGTAAGAATAAATTCATGTGCTTATTTAATATATTTTCAGGTTTTTCATTTAAAGTTTCTATAAAATTTTCACTGAATTCTGTGATTATTTTATTTTAATTAAGCACAATAATCATTGGCTAATGAATGACAGGTTGCAAAAATGTTACAAATTTCAAAGAAGACTTAGTGAAACTAATATCTAAGGTAAAATCAGCTGTTATTAAATATGATGATTAATGAGATTTAAAATATTTTAAATCTACTTTCCTCATATATTTAGAAATGCCTTCTTCTAAAAAATTCATTATCATTTCATTATGATGTTCTCTAATACCTAATGGTAATAATAAATCAATATCTTTATTAATTAATTAATCATGTCTAAGATTCAATAATTAAGATGTATTACTAGACATTCTTTTTATTATTAATTTTTGTTAATCAAAATCTGTTATAAAATAGATCATCTTCGAATTAAACATATTTAATATAGCCTAATGATTTTAAAATTTAATTAATTCTTGTTTAGATGAGGAAACAGACAGTTTACTAGCAGATATATAATCATTCAAAATTTCAGCATATAAAAAGCATAGAACTGCTTAAGTTTTTTAATTTGGAAATTATGAATATTATTTTTCAAGTTTCCGTTTTATTACTTGTACTTTATTTATAAAGTTCATAAGTTTCTAATATATTTTTAAGTCTTTTTCAGTTATACATTTTTGGATGTGTTATTTTTATTTAATTATTTCTATTATTTTTTCTTGAATAATAAAATTTCTATCTTCACTTTTCATTAATTATTCTACAGCTAATGCAACACTTTAATCAAATTTTGACGATGTCTTAATCTTGAACTCTAATTACTATAGACATTCATCGATAATTATGGTTTTTTTGATTTAATTCAACCAATCAGAACTTTTTTAATGGTATAATAAACATAATGCTTCATAGTAATGTTTCTACTTTATCCTTATCGTTGCATACAGTATTTTATCTTGTTCTTTTTAAATTAATTTTTTATCTCTTATAATTTTTATATGTTCTTAGGTAATAGAGCCATCTCCTATACTTAATAATAAAGTGTCTATATTAAATATTGGGAATCTTAATAAATTTGAGCTTGAGATTTATATAATTTTAAGTACAAGGGTGCATAAAATCAAATTAGGAAATTCCTATAATTATAAATTTGTAAAGTAAAGAGCACATTGAATTATTGTAATAACGTGAGCATATAAGATGTAAGGATGAAGTTTTGTAGATTTTATTGGAGAGTAAGCTATTTGATTTAGTAATCCATTTATTGAATAAAACAAGCATAAAATACTTATAAGGAAATGATTATAATTAGTATATTATTTAAAAATTAGGATTAAATTGTTTAAAATATGGTTAGCTATTTAAAAATAGTTAATTGAAATTTACGAGAAATTCATTTATTTTATGTTTAATGTGCCTAAGATGAATAAAAGGTCGAAAGTACTGATGACAATTAGTAGTATTTAAACAATAAATTGCAATTATCCTTTTGAAATTTCAAAAAATAAATTATATACACTCACCCTTAATAACTATCCTATCACTAATATCTTTTATCTTCCTGGTATTTATTTTATGAAAATACTGAATAGATATAAAATTAGGATCGGCAATATTACATAACAAATATTATTAGAATGTAAGAGTAATTAAGGTCTTGTTGAAGTAGTAATAATGTAAAAAAATGAATTATTTTTCTATTCGAATAAATACGAGAGCATTAAAAACTGATGTTGTATAATTAGGAAATTTTTAATGGTTGTTGAAAGCATTGCTGATTTTAGATTCACATTATGAAATATTGATATAGTTTTATCGCGTAAAGTTTCGAAAGCTTTCATAGTTGAATTAAATTAATCTTAAATATTATAATTTATTTTTATAATTCATGATAATCTCGATTTACTAAACTAATTGTCAATGATTTGTGGAAAGTATTATTAGATATAGTAAATAGATAGTTTTGGAGAAACGGTATAAGGATTTTTAATAAATATTAAAGATTCAAGAATTTGAAAGATGAGTTAAAAAAAAAATTGATTAAAATAATAAAAAAGTATTGATTATTTCGTAATTGATTATAGGTTGATAAATTCTGACAGGTTATGATTTTATAATTTTTATCGATTAATAAATATAAGTATTAATTAAATAAATGTAAAATAAAGTTGAATAATAGGACATGATAATTATAGGAACAATTTATATTTAATTTTAGCCAATAGTATAAGTGGAATGTATGTTAATAAAAAAAGGAAAGATATAAAAATTAGGATAGATAGATGAAATATTAAATGAAATTTAGTTATAAAATGAAGAGTTATTATAAAATATTAAGAAGGAAGGATATTGGGAATAATAGGTAAATGAGATGAGGTAAGGTAATAAAATAATAATTAGAATAATAAAATTGGATAAATAATAGATGGTAATGCCTGGAATGATAGATAGTCATGTTCATCCATAGAGTGGAGGGATTTAATTAAGTAGGTTGAGAATCTAAAAATATTGTAATTGGAATGATGCAAAAGAAGCAATAAAGAATAGTATAGAGAAGGGATAACATGATAGAAATGAATGGGTGTTTGCATATGGATATTGTAATAAGATAATAATAATTTGAAAAGCTGAAGGATGGTTTAAAGAGAGTGGATAAAAGATAGAAGAACTTGATGAGATATGTAGTTAGAAACCTTTAATAATAATGAGGGATGATTGTCATGCATATTGGTGTAATTCTAAGATAGTTGAAATTACATAGAGTTAAAAGAGAGATGGGATATTTATAGAGGATGAGATGAACTTAGTTAGAAAATATATTCCGAAATTAAGTGATATTGAACAATAATAAGGTTTATTGAAAGGATTAGAACATTTAGTTGGAAATGGAATTATAGGTTTTTAAGATGCAGCAGTAAAAGAGAAACTATTTAATAATTATAAAAAGTTATACCAGGATTAGAATTATATTAATAGATTGCCTTATTGTTGTATGAGTATATGTTGGAATGATCTATTTTTAGAATAAACATAAAGTAATATTTTGATATAATGTAGATGTTGATGAGGAAATGAAATTTGAGACTGTTGAAAATTAGATTAAATAAATTCAAGATTTAAATTTAGAGAAATTATATTGTCATAGTGTAAAATTGTTTGTAGATGGAGTATTGGAATCTAAGACAGCTTTAATGAATGTACAATATTGTAAATGTTCACATAATGGATAATTAATGATTTAAAATATTCCATAAATTATAGAAGGATTAAATGATAGATCTATTTAAGCACATATTCATAGTATTGGTGATAGAGCTACTGATATTGTAGTTGAATCATATGAAAGAATAGCTAATAAATTAAATAAAAATGTTATCAATTATTTAGCACATTTAGAATTTGTTTCCCCTAAGGCTATAGAATCATTTAAAAAACTCAATTTAGGTGCAAACTTTTCTCCTTTATGGTTTTATGAAAGTCCAGAATTATCATTAATGCCCACTTGTTTACCATAACATTATATGAAAGGTATGTATCCTATCAAAGATCTTGAACAATGTATAATTGGGTTCGGAAGTGATTGGCCTGTCAGTTCTGCTAATCCTTTTGAAGCCATTGAGGTATCTGTTACTAGATAACCTTTGGGACATACTTAAAAACCTATACCTATTGGTGATTTAAATCAAAGAATCACCATTCAATAAGCCATGCATTATTATACTGAAGGCTCTGCTCTATTAATCTAAAAACCTGGATTAGGATTACTTAGATAAGGACATTCTGCTAATTTCATTATCATTTCATAAAATGTTTTCAATATTCAACCATCCTAAATTCATCAAACTCAAGTCTTATCAACTTTCATCAATGGAATATAAGTTTATTAATTACGTCTTTTATGAATATTTATTTTATTTTTATCTATGCATAATTACAACGTCGATCATAAATACAAGTTCTAGACACGTATCGGTAATTGGTTTGAAGAATGGGAGCTAGATGAAACCAAGTGAGAATTTGTTCATGAATTTATTAGGAAAAAAGATTATTTGAAAAATAGATAAAATGGGTAACTGGCAAGCATTGTCAAAGATTAAAAAACACATTTTAGTCTTAGATTAGCTTCACTTACTTTTCCTTAAGACCAATTTATTCATTTTGGATTCCATATTATGCTTTAAAATCTCAAAACATAAGGCTTTCTATCCATCGACATCTAAGAAAAATTAAAAATTCCCGAAGAAGCATACAATGTTACTACTGCAACAACAACTCAACCTACTGTAAGATCTGTATTTGTAGTTGTACCATATACCAAAGAACCCAATTTCTTTGGGGATGATCTCTTACATTATGGACAACATTTCAGAATTCTTGCAAACCCAAGAATCTCAAACAATAAAAACTTCTATCTCCATTCACTCCCATAGACTCCAACTAGATGTGCCAAAATATCTAGAAAATAAGAGGTCTGCGCGATAGAAAATGATGTGTTTAATACAGTTTGGAAATTAGAACATTCAGATCCTAAAATTAGATTTGAAATGGAAGGATAACCAATTAGAATAAATGATATTGTGTTAGTTAAACATTCATTTACTTAACATTGGTTAGCAAGTGATGATATAATCTATTAAAATGACTTTGGTAGAGAAAGAGAAGTCTTCGTTCATTCTTATTAATGCTTGAATAAAACATAAAACTTAATAGCAGAAAAAGAGGGTCGTACAACTATTGACATTCCATTAAGAAATTAAGAGTATCAATAATCACTATTTCTAAAGACCTTAAAATTTATGGAAATTTGTCGTTGCAAATAAATCGAGTGAGTAATTTGATGAATCTGTAATGGATGATAATAGAAATGTTAAAAATTTAATGATACGAGTTAAATAATAAATTACTAGTAAAGGTGCTTATGGATTAAGAGGGTTGGCAAAAATCTTTTTTGAAATGGATATCAATAATAGTAATTATTTCCAAATATTATTAGATGGAATAGTAGAATATGAAGATTTTAAATGGGGTTTAAGAAACTTTGGACTCAATCTTTCTGAAGATGAAACCAAAATGATTTTCTCAACATTTGATAAGAACAACAATTCAAAAATTGAATTCAACGAATTTTTAGATGCTTTTAGAGTAATTACTTAATTTCAACTATTAGTAATAAATGAGTGATAAGAGACTTTATTTTGTTCAACGAGCATATGCATCAATTGAATAACGTGCTGGTAAAGTTACTTTGGATGCAATGGGTAGAACTATTAATGTTAAGGAACATCCTGATGTACTAAAGGGATATAAAACAGAAAGATAAGTATTTTAAGAGTTTTTATCTAATTGGAATAAGGCATAACCAGACAAAGTAATCTCATTTTAGGAATTCGGAGAATTCTATTAAGTAATTTTCATAATAATTTCATTTAGGATGTATCATCATCAATTTTGTAAGATGAGACATTTGAAGCAATTTTAAAGAAATCATGGAATTTATGATTGTTATTATTAAAATTGGTACATCAAATATATTCTTTCAATTCATCAACATTAACCAATAAAAGCTCTTTCCATAAACTCATTCATTATTCCTAGCATAAATTTTCATTTTTTTCTCAAATTTTTATACCATTTTCACGATGAATTTATTACAATTGAGTTGAGTTCATTGAATAATATCATGATGAAAGATGAACAAAAGTTTAATACCAATTGATTCAGAGATTAAAAAAAAAAAATTTATCATAATGTTCATTACATCAAAATCATCCTGATTGTCAAAGTTTTCCTATAAATATAATTACAAGTAAATAATTGTTCTAGATTCTTTCCTAAAATGTTTTTATTATTTAAAGCTAAAAAAAAAAGGCGAAATATTTCTTTTAATTTGATAGAATTTGGAATAATTAAATATAATATAAAATTTAGAATAAAATTAAAAGAAAGGATAAACAACCTTTTTGTTTTTTTTTCTGTGAAATATATATTTTAGAACTTGAGCTCATTAAGTTCTCCTTTTTTTTTAGAAGAGTTTATAATTTTAATATTTAACTTTTTAAAAAATGATGAATTAGTTTCTTGTAAGACCTTATAAACTCATTAAAAAAATTGAATGCAGTATCATCAACCTTCATGTATATGGTTAGAATGTATATCAATAAAAGAATTTATTTTTAATGTTTTAATTATATAACATTATGTAATTATAATTAAAACTTTTAAGAAAAAGATAGAATTGCCTTTAGTTAATCAATATAAACTTACTTATTATTTAAATTAATAGAATTTAATTAATAGAATTAGAGATTAGTAAATTTAAGACAAATTCAAAAAGAAGTAATTTATTAATATTTAAATGCAAAACTAGTTGATTAAAGAATCAGACCTTGAAGGAAAGAAGAAATTGTTCATGAAATGGGCCTTAAATTCTTTAAGAAAGTATTTCAACAACAACAATCTTCCCTATCACATTTTATCAACTTGCGTTTCTATCAAGCCCGGTTCAGCTTATAGATGTGCCACTCTGTAGTCATATCCTAACCAAGGAGTGTGGAAGTGTTTGCAATCACTTCCTGAAAATGTTAGGAATGATTTAAGAACATATTTCATAGAAGAATTAAAACTAGTGGAAAATAAATTTCCATAGTCTATTTTGATAGAGATTAAAAAAAGAATCTAAAAAGACTTTGATTTTGCTAACTTTTATAGAGAATTTAAAAGTAATGAAGTCCAAATATAAACTTCAACAATTGAAAATGAAACAAATGATACACCGTAAATTGAATCTGACCTAACAAATAATAAGATAAAATAAAAAAAATGGTCAAAGGGATAAGGCTTTGTAAGTGAATCAAGACAAATTTTAATATAAATGTAAATATGTAATAGATTTCCACCTCTTATTCCTGTAAACAATTTACATTATCATAAACTAAGAACTCTTTATGAAAAGATTAAGGAATAAAAGTTTAAAATGTCTGATGATATGCAGCAATTTTAAATGGAACTTGAAAAATTTTGTAGATAAGAATTCTTTCCTTAAGAAATAGGAAAAAGAAAAAAAATAAAAAAAAATATTGATCAGTAATAAATTGAACAGATTGATATCCAAGAAATCACATAATCAAAATGCTTTATCAAAGTAGAAAATGAAGATATTGACATATTGGGCAACTTTAAAGAAAGAGTTAAAAAAATCGAGCCTGGAATTTAGCTCTTTATTCCAAATTTAACATAACTAGATTAATAAACAAGAAATTATTACTAACAAATGGAAGATCATTATTATAAAGAATTATATTATAAGGAGAAAGTAGAAAATATGGAAATAAATCCAAAAAATATCCTATAAAGTTGGAGATAAAACTATTAAATTTTTTAATGTAAAGTTGTTTAATAGAAAATTGAATTTTAATCAGATTATATTTGAGTTCTCTTATGTATTTAAATTATTATTCTTTTTATTTTGATAATTGAAATTATTGATATACAATTGAAATTCTAGAATCGTTAAATTATCATAAATGACGGCGTTCAATTTCAAATAAATTATGCTAAAATGAAAGTTTAAGTATTATTTGGTTCCAACTTTTAGAGAATTCAAATCCCAGTATATATGGCTGTACTTAAACCTATATATGCAGTTTGCCCTTTTTCTACCTATGTTTTTTTTCAAAAAGATTATCAAACCAAGGTTTTGGAAAAAAATATGGAAATTTGAGATAATTTTTAAATATCCTTTAATTAAATTCAAATAATATATATATTTAGAGAGAAGTTTTTGATTTAGATGAGGAAACTAAATCATCAAAAAATAAAATGATTAAAATAATGCAAAAGAATTAAAAATAAAAAAAATTTACCATAAATTTCATAATATCAAAATTAGAATTAACAAATAACTAAGCTTATTATTAATTTGATTATAATAACAGAAATTAAATAAAACAACTGATAGACAAAACTTATAAAATTATAAGAGTAAATTAATCTTTTTATTTAGCATTTATCTAAAATTCATGACGAACTTATCTCTTGCAGGAGAAGCTGTAAAATAAAAATATGATTTTAAAAATAACTAATAAATTATATTAAATCTATTAATCATTATATATTTAAAGAAAAAATAATTATAAAAGGAATTGAAATTCAAAAAATTAATCTAACCTAAACTCTAGTTAGACATGATATTACAAATTACAAACATAATAATCTATTAGTTAGATTATTGATTATAACAATATTAGAGATTAAAATAATGAAATAACAAAAATAATTGATTTACTCAAAGATTGCCCAAAAGTTTGTGAATAATGTACCACCGATAAAATTTGTACAAAGTGTCTATATGTCTATCCTATGATTAAGGTATGCGCGTTGAATCATGTTATGCTAAATACTTAAAAATATTACTTGAATAAAGAAAATTGTGACACAGGAGATTTAATCTCAAGTAATGAAATATTAATGGATATTCTTTAAATTAATGTTTTAAGTAAAAATGTAGAGTATTTAAAGTTAATAAATAATATTAAACTTTTTACATTAAACTGATTTACTTTGATGTTTTTATTCTTATAAAGGGGAGGTTATTATGGTCATCCTATTCTTCTTTAATATAAGATAGTGATTGTTTTGATTTATGTAAAGGTAAATTTTTAAATTATATAAACTTTAAATGTGAAGGATCATGTTCATATGAATATAAAGTAATAGATAAAGTTTCAAATATATATGCTTATGTTGAAAAATGTGGAGAAGTCTTTGCAACTTTTATTTATTATTGGGACAATATCTTTGGTTTATATTAATTTATATATAAATATTAATATATTTAAATCTCTCTTCTTTCTATTTAAAACTCTATGTTTTTATTCATTAAATTAATTAATAATATGTAAAACAAAAAAATAATATTACTAATAATAAATAAATAAAAATTATAAATAGTTAGAACATTTTAATTTTAAAATGCTTTTATATGAATTAATGATTCAATAGAACAAACAGATTTATATTAAAAATAAGTGGAGTTATGTATTATAATTATAAGTATCTAAAAAGTAATTCTTAAAACATCAGGTACGTGCTAAGGCCAAAGCAGCCATTACAGAAGTATTTGAACTATTTAGAGGCTTAGCACGATAGTACTGGAGTTCTTTGAGCAAGAGGGTAGTTTTACAGAGATCAAATTTTTCAATCTGTTAGACTTTTTCGCTAAGTTTTTTGAGATATAAATATGTACGTTAAAACTCTAATTTTCAATTACTATAATCTATTGTTGTCTTATGCAGAGTCATTTCTAGTTAAACAGGTTTCTGAAGTTTCTTAAGAACTATTGGAAATCAATTTTTTTTCAGTGGATTTTTCTGTAATTATTTTATTTGTGCTCTTAGAAGATTTTGTAAGCTCTTAAATTGTGAGAGTACGCTTTTTAGTATTCCGATCAATCAAAGGTGAAATGGATTTTTAGGTTGGCATATAAGATCTGGCAGATAAATTCATAAAGTTAACAAATAATTAATAATAAAATGACATTAATTTATATTCTAGTGTTCTATNAAACTTTTTACATTAAACTGATTTACTTTGATGTTTTTATTCTTATAAAGGGGAGGTTATTATGGTCATCCTATTCTTCTTTAATATAAGATAGTGATTGTTTTGATTTATGTAAAGGTAAATTTTTAAATTATATAAACTTTAAATGTGAAGGATCATGTTCATATGAATATAAAGTAATAGATAAAGTTTCAAATATATATGCTTATGTTGAAAAATGTGGAGAAGTCTTTGCAACTTTTATTTATTATTGGGACAATATCTTTGGTTTATATTAATTTATATATAAATATTAATATATTTAAATCTCTCTTCTTTCTATTTAAAACTCTATGTTTTTATTCATTAAATTAATTAATAATATGTAAAACAAAAAAATAATATTACTAATAATAAATAAATAAAAATTATAAATAGTTAGAACATTTTAATTTTAAAATGCTTTTATATGAATTAATGATTCAATAGAACAAACAGATTTATATTAAAAATAAGTGGAGTTATGTATTATAATTATAAGTATCTAAAAAGTAATTCTTAAAACATCAGGTACGTGCTAAGGCCAAAGCAGCCATTACAGAAGTATTTGAACTATTTAGAGGCTTAGCACGATAGTACTGGAGTTCTTTGAGCAAGAGGGTAGTTTTACAGAGATCAAATTTTTCAATCTGTTAGACTTTTTCGCTAAGTTTTTTGAGATATAAATATGTACGTTAAAACTCTAATTTTCAATTACTATAATCTATTGTTGTCTTATGCAGAGTCATTTCTAGTTAAACAGGTTTCTGAAGTTTCTTAAGAACTATTGGAAATCAATTTTTTTTCAGTGGATTTTTCTGTAATTATTTTATTTGTGCTCTTAGAAGATTTTGTAAGCTCTTAAATTGTGAGAGTACGCTTTTTAGTATTCCGATCAATCAAAGGTGAAATGGATTTTTAGGTTGGCATATAAGATCTGGCAGATAAATTCATAAAGTTAACAAATAATTAATAATAAAATGACATTAATTTATATTCTAGTGTTCTATGCATTAAACTTAGTGCTTGGAAAATTCACGACATTGAATGAAGCACTATTATTCAATCCTATAACCCTTTATGTACCTGAATGTGTAGAATAACCAAAATTTGATAATATCATTATAAGTATTCGTTATTGGATTGAAATATTACAAACTGATGATTGTGATTTGTAGACTGACTTAGAAACTTTAAAGTAAATAAAAACAACTCTCCCAGAGTCAAATTTATTTTTGAGTTCTTTCATATAAAAAGATCAATTTAAAATTCATGGATTAATGCAAATCACTGATGATATATGCACAGATGCTTAAAGTAATATATATGATAAAAGATTTATAGATTAGCCAGGCTATATAATCGATTTATTAAAGAAAGAGCTTTAATCAATTATTGATTCTTTAGAGGAAATTTTGGCCACACCAAATAAGCAACGAAAGATCTCTGCATTAAACTCTTAAGTAGAGGAAGTCTAAACATACCAAGAATTTTGTTTCTAAAAGGAAGAAAGACAGAGGCGCAAGGCACAAGATACGATTAATTAACAAGCACAAAACATAAAAAACGAAGTAGGTTATATAGATGATGCTTATGGTACATCAAGCACTTAAAATTAGAATTAGGGATCAACAGATACATCATCTTCTACTTATTAATCCAACTAATAATAATAAAACACAAAGTATTAAGGGACTTCATAGCCAATCAATTGTAATGACCATGCAACTTAAAGTTAATAATAAAGTTCTGATCAATAAATTAGTGGCAGTGTTTCTTCAAACACTTAGTAATACACTTCAAATTAATAATAAACAAGTACATCCTCATAATCATAAACTTCTTAATAACAAAATTAAACAATTAATTCTTCCACTTAATATGAGACACAATAACCATCATCTTCCCAATAATTTTAGAATACATAGGCATAATAAGCTACTGTTTACGATTCCGGATCATAAAATCCAATATAAGAACCAACTGGTAGGTCATAATAAACATATTAACCAATTTAAAATTCATCAACATAACAAAACCAACCTATATATTAACCTTAATAGTAATTATCCCCTGATGCTTAATAATTCCCAAATTAACCACAGACATCATCAGGATCAAATGTAAATCCTCAATAATAGTAATTAAATCAACCTTGTGAAATACCAAAACCACCATAAGAGCCTCAACAAAATCCTCCTTAAATACCGAGTCAAATTCCATAACCTCAACCAACCTAAATTCCTCCATAAACATAACCTTAACAACCCCCTCCTTAAGGACCTCCATAGACTTCTACTTAAATACCGCCCTAAGAACCTTCATAAATTCCACCTTAAGCACCGCGCTAAGTACCTCCTGAAGCACCACGTTAAGCACCACCCTAAGTACCACCTTAAGAACCACCTTAAGCTCCACCTTAAGCTCAACCTTAACCACCACCTTAAGCACCTCCTGAAACACCACCTTAAGCTCCACCATAACAACCACCTTAAGCTCCACCATAACAGCCACCGTAAGCATCTCCTGAAACACAACCTAAAATTACTCCGTAAATACCTCCTTAAGACTGTTCATAACCACCTGCTTAAGCTCCTCCACAGAACGTTCCAGTTTAACCGCCTGTTGAGCCACCGAAACCACTTGAACCTCCTGTTGAACCACCTAAACCACCTATTGAACAATCGAAACCACCCGTTGAACCACCATAACCTCCAGTTTAACCACCATAACCTCCTGTTGAACCACCTAAACCACCTGTTGAACAACCGTCACCTCCAGTTTAACCACCATAAACTCCTGTTGAACCATCTAAACCACCTATTGAATAACCATAACCACCATAACCACCATAGCCATCATAACCTCCTGTTGAACCACCTAAACCACCTATTGAATAACCATAACCTCCTGTCGAGCCACCACAACCCCCTGTCGATCCACCTAAACCACCTGTTGAACCACCTAAACCTCCAGTACAATAACCACAGTCACCCTCACCTACAGAAACATAAAAACCTTCTGAAACTGTAATTTCACCAACTTCAAAAGAATAAATTAAAACAAACATAACAGTCAATGGAAACAGAACTACTGAAGTTGAAGGTTTGATCAAATAATTACAAGAAGGGAAAATGGAAAATGTTTCCATTAATATTACTGTTTACTAAAATTCAAATACAACAACGATTGGAAGTTAAAATGGGGAATTGTTAACAATACTAGAGGCATTATGTAAATAATATAATTTAATTAAAAGTATCAACATAACCCGCTTGTTCTGCTCCAGCTTAACCAGTAGTAGTAGTAGTATAATAAGAGGATGACGATTGTAAGGAAATAGTATAACCAATCAAACCAAAACCAGAAGAAAAGCCAATAGTTGTTATTTAATCAGAAGAAGAAGAAGAAGAAGAATTATATCCTGAAATGTCCTTTCCAGAGCCAAAATAAGAAGATCAACCAGAACCTGAAGAATAACCTGAATCTATATCAGAGGAAGAAATGGAGCCTCTTCCAGAGGAAGAACCTGAACCAGAAGAAATCACAGAAGAAGTAACTGATCCCATTCCAGATGAACCTATTAGTGTTAATACTACAAAACCTGCTGAACCTTTGCCTTTACCAGAAGAAGAGGAACCTTTTGAAGAATAACCTTATTTTGAAGAATAAATTCCATATGAGGAAGAACCTTACTTTGAAGAATTACCAGAAGAAATAATACCTTCTGATACTAAAAACATAACTAAACCTGCTGAACCTCTTCCTATACCTGAACCAGAAGATGAGCCTTTTTAAGAAGAATTTATTGAACCAGATCCTATTGAAGATCCAGCTGATACATTTAATGAAACAAAAATTGTTGAACCTCTTCCTATTCCTGAAGAATAATATTTTGAAGAGGAGATAACTGTAATAGAAGAACCTTTTGTTAATTAAACTAAGCCAGCTGAACCTATTGAAATCCCAGAAGAGTTAGAACCTGAAGAAATTGTAGTAGTGAAAAATGAAACGAAATAAGCTGAACCAATACCTATCCCAGAAGAAGAACCAGAGGAATATATTCCTGAAGAAGTTGTTGTTGTATCAGATTCAAAAAATACCACAAAAACAAGTTAACCCTTACCAATTCCAGAGGATGATAATGAAGAAATAATCTATGAGGAATTTTACTATGAAGAATATTACGAAGAAATTGTTGTAATAACACCTGTTAAAAACACAACTAAATCTGCAGCTCCTTTGCCTTTCCCAGAGGATGAAGATGATGATGATTGGGGTTAGATGGCCTTCGGAGATGAAAGTGATGAGGGTGAATGGGAAACTTATTGGGATGGATCTTAATATGTTAAAAGAAAGAAATCCACCACTGTTATCGAATATGAATATTATTGGGATGTTGATTCCTAAAGTTATAAAACTAGAGTCAAGGGATCTGGTCCTAATGAGGATGATTATGAACTCTATTGGGACGGTTCAAGATACTTGAAGAGAAAAAAAGGAACTTAGACTTATGATAAAAATACAAAGCCATCAGGAACATATACTTATGATGGTTATGTTTATGAACAATATTGGGATCAAAGTTCAAATTCTTATTTATGGAGAAGATATAGAGTAGGTTCAACATAATATGAAAGTGGATATTATGAATTTTATTGGGATGAAAGTACTCAAACTTATAAATTCAAATAATCCAGTTCTTCTACTAGCACAACTAAATCGAGCTCTTAGAGTTCTTATACATATAATGGATACTAATATGAGTAATATTGGGATCAATCTTCAAATTCTTACAAATGGAGAAGAAGGTAGGTAGGATCAAATACATGGGAATCCGGGGATTATGAATATTATTGGGATTCAACTAGCCAAAGTTATAAGTTCAGACAATCAGGTAGTTCTTCAACGTAAAGTTCTTAAACTTCTTATACATATAATGGATATTACTATGAATAATATTGGGATCAATCTTCAAGTTCTTACAAATGGAAAAGAAGATAGGTAGGATCAAATACTTGGGAATCTGGAGAATATGAATATTATTGGGATTCAACTAGCCAAAGCTATAAGTTCAGACAATCAGGTAGTTCTTCAACGTAAAGTTCTTAAACTTCTTATACATATAATGGATATTACTATGAATAATATTGGGATCAATCTTCAAATTCTTACAAATGGAGAAGAAGGTAGGTAGGATCAAATACTTGGGAATCTGGAGAATATGAATATTATTGGGATTCAAATAATTAGGCTTATGTTTGGAGATTGAAAAAATAATCATAGTCGTAAGAAGAGGAGTATGAGTGGCAATGGGATTGGGATACTAATTCTTATTAATGGAGAAGGAAAGCAGGTTCATATGATACAAATCAATACGAATAATATTGGGATTCAACAAGCTAATCCTATTAGTGGAGAAAGAAAAGTAGTTCTTCTTATAATTATGATGATGGCGAATATGAATATTATTGGGATGCTAATACCTAATCTTATTAGACTAGATAGAAAGGTAGTGCTTCTCAATAAATTGAGTATGAGTATTATTGGGATTATGACACTTAATCTTACTAAGTTCGTGAAAAGGGAAGCAGTTAACAATCAGAAGGATATTCAACTTCATCAAGTTCAACTACATATTATGAATAATATTGGGATGCTGATTCCTAATCATATAAGTGGAGAGTAGTTTCGAACGATTAAGTAAGTCAAGCAAGTACTTATGATGATGGATAATATGAATATTATTGGGATGCATCTACAAACTCCTATAAGACAAGATTAAAATAAAGAGGTGGAAGCAGCTCCTCACAATATTCTTACTCTGATGGTGAACAAACTTATTCATACTCTACAACATATAATGTAACTTCAAGCACTGATTACTGGGAAGAATATTATGTAAATGAAGAAGGTGAAATGGTTACTTTAAATAAAGGAGCTTCATTTTTAAATAATAATGATATTTTATAATCAGATAACCAATCACATGAAAAATGGATTAGCTAAGATGTATATTTTGTATTTAAAATTAGGCTAAATAAACAGATGATTCATTAGAATCTTAAGATGATCCAACTAATCAGGCAAAATTCATCTATAAAACTAATCCAGTATGGGAAAAGGATGAGGAATAAATTTACAAGTCTTACAATTTAAGAAGCAAGAATATTAAGAATGCTGCAAAAATGAAAAACATTAATAATAATCATAATAATAATAATAATCAATAGAATAAACCAAAGAAATAAATTGTTGCTACAAGTTTCAATTTCAGAACTATCCCATTAGCATAGGATGATAAAGTTGAAAAACAACAACAATTGAAAAATTAACCAGAATTTATTGATAAAAAGGAAGCCACTGATGAATAATAGAATTCTTCTGTGTTTAGGAAAATAATGAATATTTTTAGTCATAATTGAAATGACATGAAATAATTACAATATTAATCTATTTCACTACAACTTCTGATATAAATCAAATTATTTTAGGCACAAATTTTAGATATGGAGCCGAAATAGGATTTTTGTAATATTTCTATAACTCATTTTAAAAGTAATTGTTTAGTTAATTAAATTTATCATCTATTTCTTCTTGAGTTTGAATAATTTTATAATTTCTAGCAATTCTTTCACTCATCATAATAAAATCATGTGGTAAGGGTTAATCATCAGGTACTTAATTGAGAGTTTAGAAATTTTTCATTATTTCTAGATTTTAATGGCTAAGATCTTCTATTGAACCCAAAATAGCTTCTAATGAAACTTCTTCAATATTTTCATCTTCTAATAATGCTTGATTTTAAATTAATTTACCAAGATGAGCTTATAATCTAAAGTATTTGAAATATTCTACAATTTTATATTAGTAAAGATGAACTTTCTTCGATCATGAAAGTATTATTTTTGATTTAAAGATTTTGCATTTTCTGGTCTAAATACTTCTAATTTATTTTCCAATTTTTCAATTTCTTCTTTCGTCTAAGTAATTCTTGTTTAGAGTAATCTAAATATAGTTTAAAATAAACTTTTTAAAATCTTAAGTTGTCTATTAAGCCCTTTCTTTTTCAGCGATAGATATTCTTTGAATATTTTGGGACTAATGCATATAAATAATAATAAATATACTATTAATGTTGGATATTAAAATAAATAGATATTTAATAATCTCAATTCATATATTTTTCATACTTCTTAAAATTACGAGTGAGTATGTCTTCAAGTGGCCCTAATAATCTTTTAAATGTATCTCTATCTAAATAGACAACAGTGCATGGAGTCTAAAAAATAAGTGAATATAAGTATAACCTCAGCAATAACAGATGCAGCTCTTGGTGCTTATCTAAGTAAGGCAATTTCACCAAAATAATCACCTTCTTTATAAAAATAGACAACTTAAGCAGGTTAACCTAAGAAAAGTAGATAGTAAAAATACTTTGATTTAAGACTTTGGTGGCTACTGCTTCTCCTTTTTCAAGGAAATAAAAGATATCTCCTTCATCTCCTTCTTTAACGATGTAATCTCCAATATTAAAATTTTTGCTTTTGAGTGCATCTGCAATTTAAGATCTACTATATGGATCAAGTTCATGAAGTAATTCAACATGAGCCAGAAAGTATTCATATCTTTCTCTCTTTCTAATAGCAGCATCTTTGACTATATGATTGAATGTTCCTCTATCTAGAGAGAATAGGACACAGTTTTCTTCTGCAACTATAGTAGCTGCTCTTGGTGAATTGTATAGGAGTGCTAATTCACCAAAAGATTCTCCTGGTTTGTAAGTTTTAAGATGAACTGAATCTTGACCAGCCTTAGTCTTTGAGCAATCTAAAGTTCCTTCATCAACAATATATAGATTGTCTCCGTCATCTCCTTATCTGATTACAATATCTCCTTTTAGATATTAGATGACTTCCATAGCATTAATTACAATTCTTAAATCATGTTCATCTAATTCTGAGAACATAAATGATTAAGCTAATTTCTCTTTAATTCTCTAAATTTGCAAGTGAGACTTTGCAACTATTTTAGGTTTGAAATTAGTTTTTTTATTATAAATTCCATAGACTTCGGCACTAACACTGGCTCTATCAGGTCGAATTGGATTATTAGCATAAAGTTCATAGTCATCTTCATCTGACTCTGTTTCATCTGATGATTCGACTGTGTCATTATGAATTTATTAATTATGGTTTAATCCATTTTCTATTTAAGCTAATGATAGGATGTACAATATCAATACCTCCATTTACGCTTAACCATTCAATTGATGCTTGGGTCTATTTAAATCATAATTAAATTTTATTTACCACGTTATCAGGCTTTTCTTTCACTAAGTAAAGTGCCAATTATTCTAAGATGGGATTTACGTTATTGATGAGATATTCGTGATCTTAATTTTACATTTTATTTTATAATTTCTAATATCACATGTTTTATAATAAAAAATATGTTCACATAATGAAGGGAATAAATATTTATAATAAGTGTTTATTTTATATATATATATTTATTAAAACGGATTAATTATAATAAAAATATGAAATATTTAGCAATTCTTCTTCTTATTCTGGTGTTGACAAATGCAAAAAACATTAGGGTGCAAAAGAAACATAAAGAAACTACAAATGTTAAAAATTTGGTTGAACTAGAGTAAGGATAGGTGTATTTTAATCTAGTTCCAAATTTGTAGGAGAAGCATAAGATCTGAGTGGCAATGTCGGAGTTATTTCAGTAACAGAAGAAGCAAATAATGATTTTGTGAAATAGAACAATATAAAGAAAGCTGAAACAAAAGAAAGAAATGCAGTAATGAATGCAATCAAGAAATCATAATCACATAAATCACTTATTTAAGTTAGTGACAATGAGGTATATGTAGAGGAGACATTGGATTAAACTCCAAAGAAGGAAATAAACTTTGCAGATTTATTTACAAATGATGGTTCATCACCAGATATGGGCAAATAAGCATTAATTGAAGATAGTCCAAGTCCTCCAATGGCTTAAATGCCTTAAGATGAAAATATGGAATATGTGAGAGCTATTGATAAATTTGATTTAATAGATGAAAATGGATAACCATTAGAATTGTTACCTGAAGAATAGAGTCTTTTAGAAATGAAACAATTTGAAAGCAGATTTACATAAGGGGAAACTCCTTAAATGGAAGTAGCCCCTGCTTGGGATTTAGAAAGTGCTTATGAAAAGACTCCAGGATAAAGTGAATTATCACCAGAAGAATTGTAAAGATAAACTCAATAGATGGTTGATAGTTTGTAAGGAGAATTAGAAAATGAAGATATATGATCAAGTTAAAAATATATATATATACAATATTAATAATTAATAACTAACAACTATTTTGGCATGAAAGCTAAAGTCTCATAAATATCTCCTGATAAATTATATGCTTCACTTCTTAAAAGAAAGAATGAATAAGAATAATAAGCACGACTTAAATCACCTATTGTAACTGCAAATAAGTATACTTCAATCATTTATTATTATTTAGATATCTGGTGCCAAGCAATAGAAATGGAGGTGGCAATTCTAAAATAGAAGCTAAAAAGACAAGACCTATGACTGGAAAAGATTTGAAAGATGTAAGTAGTGTTTTGATCAAAAAAACTCATGCACGTTAGAACAGCAAATTGATTGAAACTAAAGAAAATTCATAAAACCTATCTGCTAGTGCCTTGTCTATCTTGTTAAAAATCAAATAGGATAGACCTGAAACTAAATAGCCTGGAATTCAGTAATCTAAAGATATGTTCAATCAATAAGCTATATCAAAAAAATACCAAAAATTAATGGAAATGACTAAATAACAATAACAATCCATAGTCAAATCTAAACTATTTAAAGGACCTCGTTCAATCAGTAATCCAGATATTTCAAACTTGCAACTCTTCATTTCAAAAGCAAATGGATAAAGTGCTCCAGGTATGCTATATAATGGATAAACTAAAACCAATCAAGACATCTACAAAATAATCAACAAATTTACAAATAAAGAAAATGATTGGTATATTCAAGTTTCTGATGGACATGGTACTAATGGGCACTAAGTTGCTCAATTTTTGTAATAAGTTTTGCCATCCTTTATTGAATAGAGTATCACGACCATATCATCTTGTTTTGATCGAGATAAGTATACATATTTTATTAATATTATTTTAGATAAGTCAATACAATCCTCAAAAACTGTTTTTTACAAACTAACGAAGAATTACTTGATTCTGGTATTGATGTCACATATTCTGGTGCTACCACTGTTGTTGTTATCTCTTTTGAAAATGTATTATACTGTGCCAATATTGGTGATAGTCGAGCAATTATTGGAAGATTTGATAATAAACTATCAGTAATTGAATTATCAAAAGATCATAAACCTGATTGTTTTTTGGAATAAGCCAGAATCATTTAGAAAGGAGGACGTGTGTAAGCATATAGTGATGAAGATGGAAATCCAATTGGTCCTGCTAGAGTTTGGAAATCAGATGAAGATGTTCCAGGTTTAGCTATGTCAAGAAGTTTTGGAGATTATGTTGCTAGTTAAGTTGGTGTGATCTCAGAACCAGAAATAATCAAACATGCTCTCTTGCCTTGTGATAAATTTATAATTGTTGCATCTGATGGAATCTGGGAGTATATCTTTAATTTATATAAGATTTCTCTCAAATGAATGGGTCATTGAAACTGTCTATGAATATTATAAAAAAGATGATATGTAGGGAGCCTGTTAAAGATTGGTATAAGCTGCGAAAGAGGCATGGCAAAGAGAAGATGAAGTCATAGATGACATTACAGTAGTAATTGCTTTTATTAAATGATTAATTTTTCTCATTTATATTTTGTTTATCTTTATAAGACTCTGTTAATGCTTCTAAAGAAATTTAAAATTAAATTAATTGTTACAAGCATTAATTAACATTTATATTTAAGAATTAGGATTCATTATTTTAGTAAGAACCAGAATAATCTTGAAAAAATACCATGATTCTTAAAAGATTTAGAATAATTAATGCCACTAATTAACATAACGATTAATTTAAGAATCTATAAAATTTGAGCAAAAGGGTAAAATAATTTATTTTTAGTTTAAATATAATGATTTAATGATTTAATTTAATAATGAATTATCTTGGCAATGTATAAAAAGAGAATTAGATCATAAAGTTATGTACTTTATCTAGTGATCAGGAGAAACGAATAAAATGCAAATTATGAGTTATAGAGAATATTATTAAACAGAATTTAATGATTAATTAAGCGAACTAATCTAAAGATATTATTATTTGAGTATTTTACTAATAGTTATTTTTTGATTGTGTAAAAATACCTAAGTTTGAGATTGCTTCATTTTTGTAAAAGAGAAGATAGAAATCAACTTAATATAATATTGGTTTTGTATTAAAAAATATGTTCATGAAAATTACAATGTAAGTTTGAATACTCCAGTAGTTTCACCAAACTCAAGTCCTATGCCTTCATTTAGTAAAATGTTAGATACATATGGGAATGTGTTTTCATTGCTGTATGAACATTCAACAATTTTCTAAAATAATATAAAGAATTACATTGCTTGAACATTTAATGGTTTATGATGGTGATAAGCCATATACCTTCAATCTGGTGATAAACAATGGATAGGCTGCTGGTCCTCCATTATCAGCTCTTACAATCGTGAATTCCGCTTGATTTTCTTATTAAGAGAAATTAACATTAAGAATACAGTTGAGTTGATCACATTTATCTGCTATCTAGATATTGATAATTGTATGAGCATACTTTTTAATCAGAAAACTCATCTAAATCAATGATGGTACCAAAAGAATCTTTTTCACCAATAGCAATAACAGCATAAAAATGATTTTTGAGATCTTTAATAGATTTTACTTATGTGATATTTTATTATAAGATGATACTACCACCTCGTATATAAAGTGGGACATAATCTGTATATTTACACATAACAAAATGTTCTTAACCAGAATCTTCAATTTTTTGTAATCTACTTCCACTTAGGAAATGATACCAATAAGCTTTAGGAAAATATGCTTTTCTTATTGTTTAACCTTCAATTAAGATAGGTGCTGCCATTAATTCATCTCCAATAAGAAATTAAGTATCTAAAACATCATCTTTGAATAGATTAACATCATCATTAAATTCAAAGAAGACTGGGCGAAATATTGTACCAGTATGATTAGATCTCAAAAACAATGAATAATACCATTTCATAATAGAATATCTTAATTTAATATTTCTTCTGGCTGCTAATAATACTTCATCTCCAAGTGAATAGAATTCTTAATCTTTAGCTCTATCATTATTATGATTTCTAAAAAATGGATATAAACTACCTAATTAAACCCAACGGGCACATAATTTAGGAGTAGTATTGTCTAAAAATCCACATACATCAGCACCAACCATAGGTATACCGAATATATTAAATTACATAGTTGAACCAACTGATAAATAAAGGAATGTATACGATGCTTCATTATCTCCTTCCCAATGTTAAGTAAAATGTCCACTACCTGGAAATGTTGATCTTGAAATTATAAATGGTAATGGTTTTCCAATTTCTTTTTATGCTTAATAAGTTTCATATGATTCTTATAATCCATAAATATTATGAACATCTTTATGAAGATATTTACCATAATGAAATAAATTTGGAGGAAGTGTCATTCTCTCAAGAGGAGAAACTCCTGGAATGTATGGAAATCTAATATGATTATTTTTATAAGTTTCATTAACATCTGTGTAATCCATTGTAGCATTCCATTTTTCTCTTCCTGATTACTAATCACATTCTCCATCACAAAAATTTGTTGGTTCATTCATATCAATCCATAATCCACTAAAATTAGTACTTTAATAAAGATGTTTAACCATTGTTCTCCAATATGTAGAACAATTAGGATGAAAGAAATCAGGAAAATATGATGCTCCTGGCCAAACCTTTCCTCTAAAACGTTAACCAGTATTTGGAGATCTTAAAAATATATCTAAATTAATCCCCTCTCTAAATCCTTTATCTTATTTGCCATACTTTACTCCTACTGCTACATCTATTAATGGAATGTAATTCACTCCTAATTTATTTTATATTTCTTCAAAGTCATTTTTGAGGAATCTCATTTCATCAACTGAAAATATTTATCTGTCATTCATATAATCTAAGTCAGACCAAATTGTATCTAATGGAATATCAAGTTCTTTATGTTTATAAACATACTCTTTTAACTTTTAACTGCTTTTAATTGGCCATCTACTATGATGATAACCCATTGCCCAAAATGGATGTAAAGCCCAACCTCCTAAATAAGAATGATATAATTTGATTGCAGTTTCAGGATCGTAATCTCCTAAGAAGAGTTTCAATTAAAGTATTCCACCAATATATTTGAATGTTAATTTATCATCTTTGTAAATGACATCCATAGGAGAAGTATTCTTAAAAAAGAATACATGATATTTGCCTGATCTTTCTCTCATTAAATAAACTGGATGGGATGAATAAACACCTTTTCCTGGTTATTTACCATCTTCTAATAATTATGGAACATCTTTAGCATAGAGAGTATAAATGCCTTCTTTGAATCTAAATCCTTTTTGATTTCGTTCACCTAAACCAAAAAAGTATTTGGTGGGTATTTTAATAGTGAATTCACTATAATATTCAGATACTATTATATCATAAAGGGAAAGCATAGTTTCTTGAGTGTCAGTTCTGATGACATTAAATTTAAAAGGTGATTCATCAATTTTAGTTTCATAATCATAATGGGAACACGGAATAGGATTAATAATATCATTATAAATGGTCTTAAAGGGTTCAATATCAGATGGGATATAAAATTATCGTTTTTAGAGATCTTCAATTTTGATGTCTAATTAATTGTATGATTCATAAGTTGAAAGTACACTTAGGTTGTACATGGGATTGTCTTCTCTTTCATGAAACATAGTTTATGTAATAAGTGTGGAATTCTCATAAAGATAAGAAGCCAATATAAAAGGAATGTACAATATTAATAACATAATATATCAATTTTATTTATTATTGTTGTTATCTCCACCTTCTTATTATTGTTATTATTCCCCTGATTATTCACCTGATTATTCTGAAGATTATTGTTATTATTATTCACTAGCTCCTCCAGTATTACGATACCTAGAATAGAAAAGAAAGAATACATAGCTTATCCAATTTTCATAGCTGAATTTTTAACATTTTCAACAGCATCCTTAAGTCTTTGAACATCATTAGCAGTGAGATTTTCAGTTAAGAGTACTCTTAGATTTTGTATAGCACTTTCAATTTCTTAAACTTCATTAGGTTATAATTTGGCTTTATGTTCATTCAATGACTTTTCAGTATTAAAGATAGCACCATCAGCTTCATTTTTAAGATCAACAAGTTCCTTAAATATAGAAAATAAATAAATACTCTTCTTTTTTTATCTTCATCCTTATATTTTTCAGCTTTGTTAATCATATCTTAGATTTCAGCTTCACTTAATCCACCAGATGATTAAATAGTAATAGAATGATCTTTATTAGTAGCTTTATCTTTTGCAGAGACATGTACAATACCATTGGCATCAATATCAAAAGTGACATCAATTTAAGGTACTCCTCTAGGAGCAGGTGGAATACCAGATAAATCAAATTACCCTAATAATTTATTATCAGCAGCCATTTCTCTTTCACCTTAAAATACTCTAATAGAGACAACAGTTTAATTATCACTAGCAGTAGAATAAGTTTAACTCTTTTTTGTAGGTATAGTTGTATTTCTTGGTATCATTTTAGTAAATACTCCTCCTAAAGTTTCAATACCTAATGAGAGTGGAGTAACATCCAATAATAATAATTCTTTGACATCTCCTTTTAATACACCACCTTAAATAGCAGCACCAATAGATACTGCTTCATCTGGATTAACAGATTTATTGGGTGGTTTATTAAATAAATCTTACACTAATTTTTAAACTTTTGGCATTCTACTCATACCTCCTACTAAAATAACTTCATCAATCTTGCTTTTATCTACACCAGAATCTTTAATACAATTTTCAGTTGGTTTAATTGTTTTCTTAAGAAAATCTTCAGTTAATGATTCAAGTTTAGCTCTTGTCAATTTAAGATTACAATGTTTAGGTCCTGAAGCATCAGCAGTTAAATATGGTAAATTGATATCTGTTTATGTTGTTGATGATAATTCAATTTTAGCTTTTTCTGCAGCTTCTCGAACTCTTTAAACAGCCATTTTATCTTTAGAAATATCAACACCAGATTATGCTTTGAATTCTTAACTAATCCAATTAGATAGAATAGAATCAACATCTTCACCTCCACAACTAGTATCACCATTAGTTGCTTTAACTTCAAACACACCTGCATTAATTTCCAATATTGAGATATCAAATGTACCTCCTCCTAAATCATAGACTGCAATAATTTTATTATCTTTCTTTTCTAATCCAAATGCTAATGCTGCTGCTGTAGGTTCATTAATAATTCTTAAAACATCTAAACCAGCAATCTTACCAGCATCTTTTGTTGCTTATCTTTATGAATCATTAAAATAAGCAGGTACTGTTACTACTGCCTTTGATTATGGTTTACCAATATAAGCATCAGCTGTTTCCTTCATCTTTATTAAAACAAATGCACCAATCTAAGATGGAGAATATGTTTAACCACCTACATTATTTTATATTAATAGATACTTTTTAAACTAACCCAAGCATCACCATTTTATGCTCTAACAACTGAATAACTTAAATGCTTAATATCTTTTTAAACATTTGGATCATCATATCTTCTACCTATTAATCTCTTTGTTGCATAAACTGTATTCTCAGGATTTGTTACAGCCTATCTTTTTGCAGGTGCACCTACTATTCTTTAACCATCTGCTGTAAATGCAACAACTGATGGAGTTGTTCTCATACCTTCTGCATTCTCTATCACTTTTGGTGTACCAGCTTAATATATATACATATCATTATACATTCCATTATCGATACACATGAGTTTGTAGTACCTAAATCTATACCAATCACATATTCTCCTTTCATCACCTTACTACTGAATCCATTCACATTCACTTTATTCAATTTTTATGTTGATCTCAATAATTTACTTAGCATTTTATTACCTCAAATTAATTTTTAATTCTCAATCAAATTCAATCTCCTTAATTACCCAATTAACAATTATTCTAGAAATATCCATTTATTATTATTATTATATTATATTTTATATCACTCCCTATCCCTTTCTTTATCTACTTTTATCACTATCAAATCATTATTTTTATTTATCTTATTTTTTTATATCTTTTTTTTAATTCATTTATATTTCATTCTAATTTTCACTCTTCAATTTCAAATCAATTATTATCGTAATGGCTATGTCTCATCTAAACTCTACTTCTATTCATCTCTACAACAATATTAAGTATATTTTCTAAGTTACTCATTCTCCTTTCCCAATAAATCCCTTCTCTCTCTCTTATAATTCTACTTCTTTCTGTCACTTAATTTATCAAAATCATCTTGCACCAAAATTGTAGGCCTTATCGACATAAACCTATTTTATATCTTTCCATATCTACTTTAAAAATGATGTTATCACTGTTATAAATGATATTGCTATCCTAAAATAACTCAATATTTCTAATTCTCCCTCAAATTTCCAAGCCTAACTCACTGTAAAATAAGTTTAAATCACTATCTATGGTAAATCTTCGAATATAAATTAAACAAAATAACCCTAACATTATATTCTATTTCTTTTACTTTCACTAAATTACTCATCGATTTCCCAGCCTAATTAGGTACTAAAGCTCTTGTAAATTTATTATTTGGAATAACTGAAACATTATATGGAGCAATAGAATCCAGTAAATTAGATAAAGCTGCATTTCTTCCTTGAAATCCTATTGTATAAAAATCATTAATAAATTATGACGATAATTGCTGGGTTTAACTACTATGTTTGAATATTCTTATCAAAATTAAATATATAAAATAGAGAAAATGTACTCCTGAAGTTGCAGCAGTAATAGCTATAGTTAAATAGTACATTTCAATATAATTACAATTCTGAAGAACAAGAATGAATGTCATATCCCCAAAAAGATCAAACTTAAACAATTATGACATAAAAAATTGAATAATTCTATTTATTTTAGCTACTGATCTTGATTATCCAATACTCTGTAAGCGAGAGAGAAATAATTCGATTGATGCCTCAATCTTTGATTTTTTTATCCTTTCCGAATATCCTTCATTAAGCAAATTCCGATTTGTATCTAAAGCACTAGATTTAAGTCTGTATTCTGTAATTTCAATTTATTATTCATTAAATTATTCAGCATGTTCTAATGTTGTAATATATTCTGGAATTACATCTGAAATCGAAAAGTACAGATAGCCTTCCACTAAAGCTGAGATAACTGCAAATCCAGCATAACAATAATATTATTGATATCCCTTGGTAGCTTAACATTATTTTTCATTTTCATGTGTTACAAATTCAATTAAAAAAAATGGTGCTACCAAAGCAGCTCCAAAAAATAAAAAGTTTGTTAATATTAAAAGTAGTAAATTTAATTTTCTTTTTGATAAGTAATTGTTCAACTTAACAACTGATTCATCAAATACATATTTTTAAGTAGGCTTTACAAATATATTATAATATTTATATTTAATCATTCGAATTACATTAGACCAATAACTTTCTGTGGCTTTTCTATAAGCAGTTTCTCTTAGTCCATACCCAATACCAATATTTAAAAAGTCATCAAATTTATAATCGAAAACTGAATACTAAAAGTAATATGTATCATATAGAATTGAATATAAGCCCTTGATTGCCTATAAGGTAAGGCTTCCTTAAATCCTAATTTTTGAAGGAGGAATTAATCTACACAATTTAATAAAATCTCTCTCTGTATACCCTTTTAATAACATTCTTTCAACTAAATCATCAGTCAAAGTATATTCCATTAATATTTTATCAATTTAACATTAATACTATAAAACGTTTTCCCAAATATTTAGAACATCAAATTGATGTAATTCTTCTAAAGATTAAGAATCTGCTTGAATTAAATTGATTTGCTCAATTCTATTATATTTTTCACTCAGAAATATATAAGTATCTTTTTAAAAGATCATATAATAAGGGTATGGTTTTGCTGGTTTCTCCATAGTGTATCTAAATAAATTTGAGAATTTATCTAAAGTATCTAAATTTAGAATTAATTAAGTATCTTCTTAATTTAAAATATTTGTGATCTTCAAATAATGTTATACAAAATTTAAATGAAATTATGAAAACTTAAAACTTTCTATGTAATCTAAATGATTTGGTATAATTAATTCACTTTAAGTATAAATTAATTAATTTAAAATTTCTACTTGATCTCCTAAACTAATAGGAATTTCATCATAAATGCCTTATTTCCAACATTTATAATCAATTTTAATTGGTAAATCATCAGGAGCTGAATATTTATATGACTTTTATGACAAATATTTAGCTATCATATTTTTCAGAGTTACATTGTAACATAGAAAAGTATGTAATGGAAGTAATTTATTTTTAGAGATAGCTGCTCTTTTTTTAACAGCATTCATAATTGAATTTAATTTTTCTTCAGAATCTAATTGAGTGCTTGTCATATTTAATTCTACTAAAAAAACTTTAGGATGAAATATAAAATTATTAAAGATATCTGTCCATCCTTTTTCGGTTAAGAAGTTATTCTTTGAAAAATTCAATCTTTTTAAAGGGAATTAATAATCAGATGATTTAGAATTTAAATATTTTTAAGCATTATAAGAGATATTTTTAGCAATTCCGTCATTAAGAGCCATAAAATGGAGATTTAATATTTCTAAGTTTGGAGTTTTTTATGTAAAAACAAATGTTCTTAAAAATTTTTACCAAACTCCTTTATCTTAAAATAATTCATTTTTCCCAAATGTCTAAATAACGAATAGGAAATTAACGAGTGAATTATCTTTAATTTTTCTTTTAAAAATTAATCCAATCAATTGCACACTTAATCATGTCTGTCACTATTTTATCTTCCAATTCTATTGCTTAAAGTTCAATTCTTTCTATATTCACATACTCAAAATAAATAAGATTATTGAATAATAATTCCATACCCTCTTATCCAATATTAAATGAATATAAAATACAAATTCTTTTCAAAGACAAATAAAATGATTTCTGACGCCCTGTATAAATTATTCTGTCTCTCAATTTTTAAGCTGGATTAATTATAGCCTTTATTGCAGATATTCTAAGATTACAATTCATCAATACTAATTCTTCTAAGATACTATCTTCATTATAAATTAACTTTGTTGATATCAAACATAAAGCTTCATTATCTAATTGATTTTTTGAATTATAATTTAAACCCATATCTAATTTCAAATATCTTAATTTATAAATTGAATAATTAAATTATAAATTAGCAAAACTCGCAGCATCTCTTAAAATTAAATCTGTAAATCCAAAAATTTCGTTAAAGATTAAATTATAATACAAAAAATAAGTGTCTTCATGTTCAATTACATTAAGATCAATTTTACTACCTTATTTAGGATTCTTAAAAATTTAATATAATTAGTAATTTGGATCATTTTATTTTAAGTAAATTATTTTATATATCTTCAACAATCTCAATGTATCAACTGATTTTTGGATAAAATTAAAAAACTCCATATCAATACTAATCTAACCATTTATTATTAGACTTTAAAGTTTCAATTTTTATACTTTACATATTTCAAATATATGCATGAAAATGTTATCTGCATTTTGAGTTGTAATTTCCAAATATTCTAATTCACTTTATTGAGAAAATAGTAATGTAAATATCTTTTGGATAGATGAAATATGATTTTTACTTTTTTCATCTACTGATAGCTTTAATTTCTTAATTTAACATACTTTATCTAATTTAAGATCAAATTATTTTATATGATCAAAAATAATACCATTTGATAAAGTCAAAGATTTTATTGGTAAAACATTACCTAATATAATATAATTTAAAAATTTTATTGATTATTCTGCTGTCAATTTGTCTTCACAATTGTCAATCGATAATTTTTCAAGGTTGTATGATTTTCTATTATCACAAAGTGTTAATAAAATTTACAAAAATTATTCTCTAAATCCAATAAGTGTTAATTTCTTTAAATTTATTTAATTATTACAAAGGAATAGACCAAAAAATTACTCAATACTTTATCTACTTTGGTTAGTTACTTAATTAATGTATATATTTTCTATTTTAATAAATTAAATTTGTAAGGTGTTGTCTGGTTTTGATTCAAAATATTTTTAAGAAAATTATATACTTTATTTGCAGCAAAGCATAAATAAATCCAAATCTAAATGAGACAGTTTTAGTTTTTGTAATTAACTATTTGGATATAATATCAATCCAGAAACGATTCTTTAATATATCGAATTTTTCATATCAAGTTATTCTTATTATGATTGACCATTATTCTTTAGATTAATATTTTGAAGTTCTAAATCTAAATCTAATTTTTATAATTAATAAGGAAAGTTAGGCTTAAAAAGTTATAGGCTATTATATAATTTTGACTTTAAACCTAGTTGAGATTAAACAGCAAATTAGGAATTTTCAAGGATTAGCATATTTATTTCATCCATATGAGTATCTCCAAAAGCTTTTTCAACTTATAAAGTCTAATTTTAATGAAGGATTTAATTAAATATCTATTTAAAAAAATTAAAATACATTTATCCATTAAATCTCTGAAATTTTAGGATTATTCTATAAATTAATTTATCTCAAAGAAAAAATTCTTTTAAGTTCAAGAACCTTACTTCTTATTAATTGTAACTGTTTACATATTGAATAGATCATTTCATCATTTAAGTCACACTTAATTAGATTTAATGTATCTAAAAGTTATCTATCAAAATTTAAGATCAAATTCTATATCATCCATTCAAATAATTAAATATCAATAATAGAACAATCCTTCATTGTAAATTATTTCAATGTAAACTAATATATTTCTTCATTATAATTTTCTCTCACCTTTATCATAGCTTATTATAAATTCTTGCAATTAATGATTTCAAGTTTTTCAATTTCGCTAATAGGAAAGAAAAATGATAAAAAATCATCACTTAATTAACAATTAATAAATCTAAGTTCCTTAAGCATTAATAATGGAATTTATTCAGGCTCTATCTATGATTTTGTATTTTAAATAAATAAAGCTGTTGTTTAAGTCATTCCTAAGGTAAAACTGTAATCCAAATTTATAGTTTTAAAAATAAGGGTTTACAATCTTTTATTTTAATAAATGAAAATTAATGCTAATTTATTCCATAATTCTTATGTCTAAACTTAAAATTCTTCAAATTTCAAATAATTTAATTCTTCTAATGGATTAATATTCTAGGATATAATATTAGCTTGAAGATTATCAATAATATTGTTAAAATTAACAGCTTTGATAATTAATTTTTTTAATCTTATTTAACGACTGAATACTATATATTTAAAAAACTCTTCTTCTCCAACTCCTTGAAAACCTCCAAATTTCAATTATCTTAACCCAAATACCCTGTTGTTTTCAGAAGAATTTTATAAAAATAAATCTAATTCTCTTATTGATAAAGATGATTTTGTAAGTTTTATTTTATAGAAGTGGAATTCCTTTAACTACAATTTAGATGAATAAATCATTAAACTTATTAATTTTCCAACATCAAAAGAAATACTTGTTATAGTATCTAATTTTAATATTTGTAAACTATGTACAAAAGTATTTGGCATTGTATTCAAAAAATTTTAAATTTCATTTAAATAAACACTTCCTTCACCCTATAAATATAAATTTAGATTACTTTCATTTAATCTTAAAAATATTTAAATGTCTTTAATCTTAAATTTTCAGTCAATAGAAAACATTTAAAAGTCTAAACATCTAATTCCAAACAAGATGAATAAAACTTTAATCGTATTAATGAATATTTAATCTTAGGATTTTTATGAATTGATTCTAAAATATAAATGGCAGCCAATTTTAAAGCCTCTTTTTTATTTTTTTTAATAAAACTATTTATAAATTTAAAACTTTCTATTTCCAAAAATGAGTTTTCCTTCGTAAATAAGTAATCTAAAAAAAACTATTTTAAAACATCAATCGTCATAGAATATTCATGTTCAGAATCTAACATAATGAGATTCTTTAATTTTAATTTAAAATTTTTAAGATTCTAAAATTTTTATTTTTTTGAATTAAAATCTGATAAAAATAGATTTAAAGTCTTGCAATAAATTTCAGCTCTTCCTACATCTAAATTCTAAATTGCTATTAATAATAGAATAAAAATAAATACTATGAGTTCTAACGTTACTGTATTCTGAGAAAATAAAAACCTTGAGTAAAGTTTCAATTTAATCATATCTATTAAAGTTTTCTACTTTAGATAGATCTAAAGACTTTAATTTATGTTTATATCTATATTTACCTTAATAAACATTGATTTATACCTAAATCTGTATTATCTTTCAATTTTTAAAGTTGAAATTCTTCATTTTACTTTTCATAAGCCTAAGTCAGAACAGATAACTTATATAAAGTACTATTATTTTCAGTAAGTGAATCATTTAAGTTAATTGACTTACATTCTAAAAATATATTATCAGCAAGCAATTAAAAGGCTTTTTCGAAAATATTTGAATTAGCTGATATGTCAATATTATTCACTCTAAATCTATTATATCTATCACCAATAAGTTAATATATAGCATTTGTATTATGAAATAAAGGTTAATTTTTCAATTTTAAAGTAATTAGTCCTTTAGCTGTAGCCAAATTCTAACAAACCATATTAAAACTACTTTATGTGCCTAAGTAATTATCAGATAAATCTAATGATGAGATTTATTCCAAAGTTTCTAAATTATAAGTACATTTTATTAAATGCTCAAAACCTTTCCAATTTATTTAAGTAAAACAATTAGATAAATTAAAACTGAAAAAATATGTTTAATCAATTTTTTTCATAACAATCTCTTTTTCCTGTCTAATTTTTTACACTTACCATATTCTCAATATTTTAATGATTGCTATCGAAAATTTTTTCTTGTTCTTCAATAATAGATAAAAATAATCAGAGTTATCTTCAAATTTTTTTTATAAATAATGTTTCAATTTTCTTAAAAAAGTTCCTTTATAAATTCCAGGGTTACTTATGATAAAAAGCTATTTTCATTAAATAATAAATTACTTTTTGTAGATTGATATTTCTTTAAAAAACTTAAAAAATGAACTCTTCAACACTTTAATCATCTAATTCATTATGTTATAATTCTATAACCAAATTCTTTGTTTTGACCCAGCTAAACCATAAAGGTAGAATCATCAAATTATCTTTCTCAAGTTTTGTGTCAATGAATCTAATTTATTGAATTGAATAATCTCCTCTTAACCTTAATTCAATCATTTTCCAATGTTCCAATTTGAAATTACCTTTATATCCTTTTATTGTAATTTTTTTATCATAATGACAAGCATAACATTATTACTATTACATTAATATTCAATACAGATAATTCTTCAAGCTAATCTTCAATTGTCTTAGGTGGTTGGAATTTAAATTCTCCGTTTGGGAACTTATTTTTTTCTTTCTTCTCGTGAATCTCTTTTTTAAAGCTGGCTATCCATGTTTTATGTTTTTTAATCTCATTCATATAGATATTAGGCTGCATAAAATAATATCAATTATTTTTAAATTGAATAAGAATATCGATTAGAATAAGACTGAATTAAGATTTCTTTAATTTACTCATAGTTCTGATAATTTGAAATTTGAATGCTGCTGATGATCTAATTAAAAATGTTGAATAATAAATCTTTAAATTTAGAAAGTGTATAAATTCATTTTTAATTAAAATATTTTCTTAATATTAATTTATTTATTAAAATTTGTCACTTTTTTGTTATTTAAATAAGCATTGAATCCTTTATTGATTAGATTATAAAATTAAATTTAAAAAATAATATAAGAAATTACTAGATATAAAATCATAATTATAGAAAATCAATTTTACTTAAAATAATTTTTCCAAACATTTCTAATAATTCTTAATCAAATGAACTAACCTTTTAAGATCTGATTCCTTTATTATTAATAACTTATAAAATCACAGACTGATGCTTTCCTTCTATTTCAATGCAATATATTGGCATGGTAGTTTAAATATCGACTAAAAATAAAATAAAATAAAATAAAAAACCTAAATTATTAAATGACTAATGATTATAGGCATTTTAAACCCATAAAAATTCTTTAAATTTATGAGCTTCCCCAACAATTCCGATTCCTAATTATGATACTTCAAGTAATTTCTTTTCATTTACTCTTAGTAATCGATTATTATTAACAACATAAACTAAACCTTTTTGTGTATGGAATAAGTTTTTTAATAGGTTTTCTGCTTCAAATAAGATTTGTTCTGTATCATTCATGTATACTAATTATAATTAAGCCTAAGATTAAGTTGTATAATATACATGTATAACATTTCTTAGTGCATTCTAAATACTAATAGATTCACTTGATTATTAATGATTTCTCAATAAGATTGATATCATTTCAGATGTCTTAGAAATAAATAATTAATCATCATTATTAAAATGCCCAGTTAATTTATTGACTGCTTATATAACTCCAATTGAATTTTGTTATTTATCTAAAATTGGACATAATAAAATTGTGTTTGTTTTATAACCCTTATCATTATCTTTTTTGAATCTAGGATCATTGTATGCATTATGAACATTAATCAAGCCTCTTTCTTAAAAACAAGCTCCAATTATATCTTCATTGGATTAAATTCTTAATACTCTATCTTTAGTTTTTGTCCATAACTCCTAGTGTTCACTGTCTAACACATATATTTAAACCCTATCACAATTAAGTGAATCTCTTAGTAATCCTTATAAACTATCTAATTAATCATTTAAAGGAATTTGCTAAAATATATTACAAAAATAAATAATACTTCATAAATTTATAAACAAGCATCAAATAATTTATTTTATTTAATTACATTTTTGAACAAAAGTTTATGCTCTTGCAACACTAATTAAATTGCATCAAATATGTGTACAATATTGCTCAACTCCATTTTTTAAATATTTGCAAAAAATTAATCTTCATTAGAAACTAAATTCTTTATTTGTGTTAAATGATTTAATTCTTCATAACATTTAACATATTAACTCAATAAGGCTTAAAATAAATTGAATATATATACCATAATCAGAATCAAGGATAGCAGAAAGATTCTCATCAAAATTCGTGTCTTTTGTTCTTGTCCTAAGTGATTTCTTTGGACCTAAACTTGGTGTTCTTGATGAATCATCTGTCTTAACCATAGGTTTTAATGGATTCACAATCTCAACTATTTATTACTTCTCGACTCTCAATGCACTAATAATGCAATCTCTTTTTTCGATAGCTATTTAAAGTGATTTAATCATAAATTCATATTGCTATATTTATTTATCTTTTTAAATGACTGCTGAATTAAGTTATTAAACTTGTTTCACTAATTTTTAAACTAGCTCCTATAGTTCTCTTTCACTTTGCTATTTAAGTTTTAGGTTCATCACATCACTCAAATTAGGTAACTTTTGTTGGCTGTTACTTCCTAATTTGTCTGTTGATCTATAATTTTAAGATGTTACAGGTCTTCGTATGTTTTAGACTGAATTATTCATATATTATTAAAAATTATTATCATGCATCTCAAAATTCCTCTTTACCTTCATCATAAACTTATTATTATTTAGAAAATCGCTTTAAGACATATGAAACAAATGCTAAAATCAATATCATAAATATGATGCCGTTAACCTTATAATTTGAAATTAAATGTACCAACAGAAATGTCTCCAAAAAAAAGTATTAGACAGGAGCTTCTGTTTAGCAATCATTAGATGTCATGTACATACGTCCTCCATAAAACAATAGCAATCCTATATATATTCCAAAACATATATCAAGAAAATTGAAAAACAAGTTGATGGCTGCATTTTTATATCTAATTTAATTTAGCATTTATTGCATACCGTGGTATTAATGTAATTAAAATATAAGTACCCCAGATTATTAATCCATAGAATACCAAGTGAACAAATAATTACAAATTTTGATTGCATTTTTGATCGATAAATTAAGTCTCTATTATTCCAGAGGCTGAAAGGAAAATCAAAGTGTAAAAAAAATGAGCTCCTTCACTTGCTTTTAATTGTTTCTTAGCTTCAATTTCTTGCATGTTTAATAATTTTATTTATTATATAAACTTTTAACGATGAATTAGATTATTAGCTAATTATCCATATCCCAGAATCAACTTTAACAATATTAATTTTAAATCATCTGATAGTTTTAATTATTTATTTACTTTTGATGTTTTGTTACCTAAAAATCTCAATTTCTTAATAAATTATAATGGTTGCAGTCTATTTTTAACTCATGTGAAAATGTTAAATTTCTATCATTTTATAACTTTTGGTTCAGTAAAAAATATATAATATGATGAATAAATTTTGGTTCCTTTATAGAATTGCATATCTTTCTTCAAGGCGGTAAAATACTTTAAATTAATTTGTAATTTTTTTTACTTTAAAACACACATTGCTTTTTTATAATGGAATAGTTCACAGATGATGAAGAAATACAATTGATACCAATTAAAAAGAAACCGAAAACATAGGAAATAAACAAAAAAAATATAAATATATAAAGATAATAGAGTTTACAAAAACCCATCAGCAAGTCTAATCCTAAAAGGATGGATTTAAAAATTTAAACATCATTGTTGGATTCCCTTAAATTTACAGAGAACATTCAACCTGATATTATAAAATGTTGTTTGGATAATGATTTTACTTTATGGGAGCACTAAAATTTTGTTTTTAAATTGAGTCAAAAATATCTAAATTAAAAAGTTGAACAAGATTAGAAAATAATACAATATTTTAATGATTTTAATTAGAAATGGAAAATATATCCCTATTAACACTTTGTTGATCTAAAACCTGAGACAGACCATGTTATTAAAAGATAACCATTATTTGATTAAAAAAAAAAAAATAAAAAAAATAAAAGAAAAAATTAAATAAAAGTAATCCCTTTATATTAGAATTAAAAAATAGTAGATATAAGAATAAAATTAGAGTTTTAATGAAATGATGATATGTGATTTATAATATCACTTATTTATTCTTAAATTATTCTGTTCAGACTAGTATTATCGTAATTTATTAATTTTATTCTCTAACAGAACCTAATATATCATCATTTGAGGTTCTATAACTCAATTAGAACCAGCAATTGGAATTAATATTTATTTGTCTCATTTTATGTATTAAATAATGTTTCAATCAGATTCTATTATAAAAATAATAAATCATATAGTTTAGCTATTGATTTATTTTAATAATTCCTTAATATGTTTTTTCTGAATCATCAATATCTTGTATATAAATTTCTCTGTCAATTTCATATAATTTAATTTTTTCTTTCTATTTTACCATTTTTTTCATAATTCAATTACCTTTCTTAAATTCTATTTGCAAGTCTTTTTTTTATTTATTATTTATTATTTTGAATTACATAATTAGTTTAAACATCTTTTATTATCCATTTCAATAATATCTTGAAAAATTGTTTTTTTAGAAATTCTTTTCTTCATAAATTATAACTTTTTAATTATCAACGATATTTATTGTTTTTAAAAATTATTAATTAGATAATTTCTTGATCTGTTATTTAATTGTCAATTATTTGATTCTAATCCTGTTAAATTATAAAAAATAAATTAATTTTAAAATAAAAATGCAACTAGAAATTATTTAGATTATATATTTTAACGAATAAAAATGAATAAATTTCATTAAAATGAATTAAATAATTCATATAAAAATTACTTAAACCAAAGTATGGGTTTAAGTAATTAAATGAAAAGTTGTAATCAATGCTTTAGTAAATTAATTTAAGATGTATTCAACTTAAAATTTTATTTTTAAATTTTAGTTTATTAGATTCAGAATACAATCTTAATTTAAAATGATAAAATTTATAGGTATCATCACTAACTTGATCAATGTCTTGTAAGAATTTAATTAATTAATACTAATCAAAATTCTATTTATTTTCATGATTAATCACCTCTTGCATAATTGGTATCATCCTGTAGAAGATCCAGTGGAGTATGAAGAAATCAGAAGGTATGATGATGGAAGAAGAGTAAATTTTAAACTTTATAACCAAGAGATATGATAAAACATTAAGAGAAAAAGGAGGAATAGAGTACTATTTAGTATCAAAAAAGTTTATTAAATAATGGAAATATTATGTGGATTATTATGAAGAAATAGGAAATCAATAGAGAGAGGCCAAAAAAAAAGTTTTGAAATTTAAATATATTAGCCTGATAAAATTAATTCAGATTTAGTTTGTAATGAAAAGCTTTTTAACTATATCCCTGAAGATCATGTCTATAATTCCAGTATTCGTTATTTGGAAAATGAATGGGATTATGAATACGTAATATTATAAATCATAAAAATTAGATACTTAAAGATGTTTTTGATTTTTTGTAAGATAAATACTCATCAATTGAACCATAAAAAAGAATTGGATATTATTATGAGAGTGAAAAAAAAAAAATTGTTTATCCAAATTTAGCTCGAGTATAAACATTTACTACTTATAGTTTACTTTGTTATATTAATCTTTAAAAGATAATAAAACCTATAGTGTCAAAGTACAAGTAGACTATCACTCAGAAATAAAATCTTGGCTTGATTTATTAAAAGAGACTTTTTAAGAGGAATTTAAATAAAAATAGATTAAAAATATTAGAATTTGGTAACCTAGACATAAAAATCTAAAAGTTGATCTTTTGATAGAATAGTTAGAAAAAATTAATTTTGTTGATGGAGATATTTTGTTAGAAAATCTCATGATCTTTCAACTTTAATCAATAAGAGATAATTGTCTCATTCTAGATTTTGAGTTAAATACATGGTAATTTAATAAAATGGAATAATAATAATAGATTGAATTTGATATTGATCTCTTATTCAATAGAGCTATAAATGGTTGTGGTAAATATGTATGTGATTTTCCATTTTGCAAATTGAATAATGAATATCTTGAACAAGATTTTAGTTAAGATGATATCAAAGGAATTTGCTCGTAATTAATTGAAAATGAAGAAATCAATTGGAACTAATTATGTTATTAAGTAAGAAACATTAATGATAAATTGGTTCCTTTGTAAATGTCAGAGTTTTAAAAAGATTTGCATGAAGCTACTCTCAAAGTCTCTTGTTAATTAGAAATGTTTGGAGTATCATTTGTTGAAAATTTTTACAATAAATCTGGCATTTATAAAATTGATTCTCATAATGCAGATGTAGATTCTAATTTAATTATTGATACATAAAAAAAATTTATTAGTTACGGAGGTTTAAGTTTAGTAACAAATAATTTATTTTCTTAAAAAGAAAAAAATTTAGAACCTTTGACCAATTAATATTAATTGAGAGCACTTTATTTAATATTATAATTTCGCAAATATTTAGAATATATTATTGATGAAAAAATCTCAAATATTATTAAAAATTATAAGAAGACTTAATAAAAATTAGAAATCATAGTTATCTAGATGGTTTACAAACCTTTCAAAAGCAGAATTTGTAGAGACTACAAAAATAGTTAAAAAATTAATAAATTCCCAAATTTTGAGACAGTAACATTCTCCATTAATCCCTTTCTTGGTAATAGAAGATTCCCAAAAAAATGGTAGGTTTATTTGAATTATTTTAAATTTTATAAGAATCCAAAAAAATGAATAGTAGATTGTAAACATCAGAATTCGTAATTAGCAAAATAATGGAGAAATTATTCGTTTACTTTTTGTTTATATTCTTGGTCTATTTCAATAGAATTTAAATCGAAACTATAGAGTCTAGATTGCAAGGTGAAATAACATGATAGTATGAGCCATTCGGTAAAATATCATTTTACAGGATAAGCTCCATATTTAAGTTTATATATAGAGAGAAATAATATAATTGAATCAGCAATAAAATAATTATAAATAACTCATATTCCACTAAAGAATCCTTTAAAAGTGCAATTTATAGGAGAATAAGGTGTGGATGAAGGAGGTCTAAAAAGAGAATTTTTTAAATTAATAATGGAAAAATTGATTTCACCAGATTATGGTATGTTTATTCCAAAAAATAATGGAAAAATATATTGGTTTAATCCGAAGTCTTTTGAAATGGCGATTTATTACTCATTAATAGGAAAATTGTTAGGATTGGCACTTTATAATTAAGTTTTGCTTGATGTGAGATTCCCAACTGTTCTTTTCAAAAAGTTATAGAATGAAAAAAGTCACAGAAGAAGATTTGAAAGAATTAGATATGGAAATTTATACAGGATTTTAATATTTAAGAGAACAAACTGATAATAATTTAATTTAGAGTCTTGCTTTAAATTTTCATGCAATTTATGTAATATGGGGAGAAGCATACTTTGATGATTTGAAAGTATAAGCATTTCTCATATATAAAGCCTAATGAATTTTAAATTATTGTTAGCAAAGATAATAGAGAAGAATATATATAATTATATACTGATTGGTACTTAAATAAACTTGTTAAAAACTAGTTTGATTTATTAAATTCAGGATTTAAATCAGTAGTTGATGGGGATGGAATTAAAGTAATTATTATTTTTTAAATTAGTAATTTTCAGGAGAGAAACTCTAAGCCCTAATAATAGGATTGCCACATTTTGATTTAAAAGACTTAGAATTAGTTACTAAATATGATGGATTTGATGCTAATTCTGAGTATATAAGGTTTAGATTAATAATGAGATTTATAGATATTTCTGGAGTTGTATACATTCTTTGAGTATGGGATTGTAAAAAAGATTTTTGTTTTTCTGTACAGGCACAGACAGAATTCCTGTTGGAGGACTTAAATCTATTAAATTTGTTATTTAAAAACATGGTGAAGGTAAAATTTAATATTAATAATAGATACTGAATAATTACCATCTGCTCATACTTGTTTCAATGTTTTATTATTACCTCTTTATAAGAAAAAAGAAATATTGAAAGTTAAATTAATGATATCTTTAGATAATGCAGAAGGCTTTGGATTAATGTGATTTAAATATGACATTAAAATTATTATAAATAGATAACTTATCTACTAAAGTTTATAATAAATTATTAAAATCTAACATCTAATCATTAATTAAATATATCATTTGGATTAATTTCTTTGTAATTTTATATTGGAAATTTTTCATCTAAAGTTATTGCCTTTTCAATTTCTGCTTCAAAGCCACTTCATATTATAAATTTAATTACTTTAAAAATTTTTGATTTAATAGTGATTTTAGATTTTCAATAAGTATTTTTCGATCTATTCTTTCACTTCTGCTTTTTTCAATTAATGAAATAAACTCTTGAGTTATAATTTTGCTTAAATTTTATTAATTTTATTTTAATTCTTAAGACATATCTATATTAAAATAAAATATAGATTTCTTGAAATTAAAATATTATTATTTTATTTTCTAGCTTAAATCTTGATATAGAGGATACTTATTAATATTTTCTGAGCATTATTATAAAATATTTTTTATATTATCTAAGTCTTTATCATCCTTAAAAAATGGGTGAAGATCTGATACTATAATATGCATAAACCCCATACAATAAAGTATTTCTTACATTCCTAATTAACGTAAACAAAATGCTGCAATTTTTTTTTTTGTATCCTAAGTCATTTATAACTTATTGGATATTAATTCATAAAAAAGGTACTTTCTGAATAATTATGTTTAAATTTTAAAAACCCTTTTAAGACGATCTAAAATTTATTCCTATTTTTTTTCCTCAACAAGAATTTTAATTTGCTCTTTGCTAATATTTTGTAATGGATTAAATAATGAATCAGCCATACATGAAGGTTTCTCCAAAAGATTTATTAATGGATGTTAAAATAATTATTCAAATGATATTCTTTCATTTTCTTCATAAACAATCATCTTATCTAACAAATCAGCAATCAATTCTTTCTATGGATGAAATGGTTGTTGACACTTGAATTACCTATTTTAAATTAATTTATGGAAATCTTTGATACTATCTTTTGTTTTCAAATTATATGGTAAATCACCAGAAAAAAATATTTAATAGAATAAAATGCCATAAGAATAAATGTCACATTTTCCTGAAAAAGCTTAAGTACTAAATATTTATGGAGAGGAATATATTGGAGTTCCCACTCTGGTTAATATATTAGGGTCTAAAAGGTTTTATAAAATTTTACTAAATCCAAAATCTGAAATCTATTGAAAATTTTAAATATTTACTTTATACAATCTCCTTTCGTTTTCTTATCCTTGATTTAAGATTTTTATTAAAATATTTGATGGTTTAATATCTCTATGAACAATGTTATTTTTATATAAAATTCTGCATCCTTCAACTATTTATTTTACTACATTAACGCACTACGTATCATTGTACCATGATTGATTTTACTTAAGCAATTTAAATTCTTATTCTAAATCCATATCACATCTCTCCATAATTATTTCAAATTAATGAGGAGAATTGATTATATTTTCTATTCGAACAAGATTATCAGATTTAATTTCCATTATTTTTTTTACTATCTCAATTTCTTATTTCCAAAGCTTTATATTATTTCTATTTTTGTGAATAATTTTAACACATAGAGGATCATTTTATTAACCATCTTTTCTTTTACATTCATAAACTTCTCCAAAAGCACCCATTCCTATTTAGTTTTATCTTGTTTTTTCATATGTGTATAAATTTCTAATTTCATAGTCATTGGACATTGATAAGGTTATAAGTTTTCCAATAAAAATAAATATTAAAATATTCACATATAATTTTACTTATAATTAATCACTATTTAAATCCTTCTATAATCCATTTATTTCTATCTTCAACGCATGGATGAGTTCTTATAGGAAATTCCTTCCCATTTGCTTCATCTTAAACTGCAAACAAAAATTAATCAGGATTAGTAACAGATTTGATAGTCCATTCATTCTATCCAACTTATTCAATAATCCATTTATTTCTTTCTTCATTAAATGAATGAAATCTAACATCAAAATCTCCCCATTTATTATGTTATTTATCATTAGCTACAAAAAGCACTTAAAATGGATGAGATGCTGATCTAATAATATATTTATTATCTTAAACTTATTCTAAATAAAAGGAAGAATTTAAATTTATAGCATTAGTAATCTTAGCAGTATAATCTGATTTAAATTAAGGATGAGTATCTGTAATTGTTAAATAATTATTATTAATATGCGAAGGTTTAAGTTTAACAATCTTGTTTTGATTTATAGAAGGATATGGATATAGAATATTTGGTGTAGTGACAATAAACCAAAGATTTTTTTGTTAATCTTTATTGGAATGTGTTCTAACATCGAATTCTCCAGCATGTTAATTAGAGAAATCATCAGCAATAAATAAATATTAATCAGGGTTAGTTTCTGATCTAATTGTGAAACAACTCCATCCAGCATTTTCAATAATCCAATGATTTCTTTTTTCATCAAATGCATGAGTTCGTACATCAAATTAATCCTTAAATTTTCTAGTATTATCATTTGAACAAAAAACAAAATGATTAGGTTAAGTAAGAAGTCTTATTTTGTATACATTATCATTAATTTTTTCCAATAAGAAGTAGCAATGTGGTTGATTTTAATTGGTTACTCTAACATCATAATCATTGTCTAAAGATCTTGATTTATTTGTAGCAGCTGAAAGATATCTTGTAGGAACAGAGAGAGGAACAAAAGAAGCAATCAGATATCCTTAATTATTTAACATTAAAATAAAATCAATATTAATTAAATAATGAAATCATACTTATTATATTAAAAAATCATATGGAATATTTAACTCATTTAATTTTTTATAGTTCTTTTAACAAAAGAAGAGGATAATAGTAAATGATTTTATATATAAAATAATGAATAAAAAACAACTTTTCAAACATTTTTCTTTATTAATTTATAATAAATTATCTGATTTATACTTATGAATTTCAAGCTTCAAATTGATTGAAGTTGTCAAATCACATCAAATTTAAATATTAATATTCAAATGATGCACAAAATCTTAAACAGATATGTTTATTCTGAAAATGATATCGTTGGTCATGGTGCATAAAGTATAGTCTATAGAGGCATTGATTGTATTAATAAATAAGCTGTAGCGATAAAATGTATGTTTAATTTACAATATTAGTACTGAAGCCAGATGACTTATAAGATTAGTATTCAATCTGTAAATTTCAGAATGAAATAACTATAATCAAAGAATTCCATAGTCCAAACATAGTTAAATTTATAGATAGCTTTTCAGACTAAAAACAAAATGTAAATACAAGATTTACGTTAGATAGCTATATTTGATTATTGTGAAGGTGGTGATTTGTTGAATTTTCTTGAAGACAATCAAAAAGCTTTAAATGAAGAAACAGCATTAAGAATATTGATTTAAATAGTTAATTCATTTCGAGAAATCATATCAAAAGGATATGTTCATAGAGATGTTAAACCAGCCAATATTTTAATTAAAAATGGAATTTTTATGATGGCTGACTTTGGCTTTGCTGTAAAAGCTACTTCTTATGAAATTTTTGAATAACCTGTTGGTACTCCATTATATATGGCACCTCAATTACTTGACAATGTTCTCTACACTTCTAAGTGTGATATATGGTCTCTAGGAATCGTAGCTTATTAACTCATATATGGAAAATAACCATGGACTTACGAAAATTATAAATCATATTTAAAAAACATAAGATGCTATCCTGTTAGATTTCCTTCTGAGAAAACTCTCTCTGAATAATATAAAAGTAATTAATTGCTATAAATAGATTTCATTAGATAATGTCTTAAAATTGATGAAAGGCAAAGATTAAATTGGCATGAACTGTTTGAGCATCCAATCTTTCATTCTAGTTCTCAGAAATAAAATATCAATGTAATTTTTAAATTTTTAATATTAGAACATATTATATGAAAACGAATTCGATAATTTAATTCTAAGACATATACAAATTCTTATATAAATTAGAAAATTTTATTTTGAAGAATAATTTTAATTATTTGATATCAATTTAGAAGGAACAATAAATTAACATTAATTTTTTGTATTTATCTAAAGAGTTGACCCTTCTTTGAATGATTAAGAAATTATAAACCTTTTTAATTTATTAGATGAAGAAAATCAACATAAATTAACTTAAGATAAATTCAAAATACTTTTTTGTAATGATGAAATAATTGAATTTAAAAGTTTGTTTAAAAAGTTTATCAGTATATTTTAAGATTTAGTTTCTTAAAATAAATAAAAAATAGAGAATATTTTCAATTATTATGATGTAAAAAAAGTAGGAAGATTAAGATTTGAAGAATTTGCTAAATTAATTTAAAGAGTGATGCCAACATTAGTAAAATTTGAATAAGCATTTGTAAAACATATTATACTATAAAAGATATTTGCAAAATTTGATCATTAAAATGTAAATTCGATAAGTCTTGAAGATATAAAAAAGAAAGTAAGCCCTGAATAAAAAGTAACTGATAAAATAGTTTTAAAAGTATGACTTTTTTTTAATTAGAAAATACAATTAGATATTATTAAGAAATTGAGATAGAAATAATTAACAAATGAATTTATATTCAAAAAATATAATTAAAGTAGATCTAATAAACTTAATCTGGAAGAGTTTAAAATATTTTGTAAAGAATATAATAGTTCACTTTAAAATAATGAAATAAAATAACTTTTTAAATATGCAGATAAAAATAATGATAAAGTAATAAGTTATGAAGAATTCAATAAGTTTTTAAATTGATTTATAATCGTTATTATTATAATAAAATATTGTTAAATTATATAATAGTGATAAGAACATATTATTAAGTTGATATTATTAAAATAAACTATCTTGACATAAATGTGATGGCTAATTGAGATATAAAATATAAACTAATGTTTTACCTGAACTATTCTAGAAGTCTAAATTTAATTTATTTTTCATCTAATTATAATTGCAATGAGTTTATATGTAAATGAAATTTTAAATTTCTTTAAAAAAGATTGATTATAGATAGAATTCTAAAGTTTTCTAAATAATTTAATTAATTTAGAATTTATAATAATTGTTTATAAAATTTAAAAGAAATATTCATTTTTAGCACAAATTTAGATTTAACTTTTGAACATAAATAAATAGATCAAGATGAGAATAATGAAAAAGAAGAGAATAATGTTGATATGATAATAAAAATATAGAGTTATGTATAATTTTAATAGAAAATGTAAATTAGATAGGGAGCAGTAAAATAGAAATTATCAGATTAAAATTCCTTCAAACCAATTTCCAAGAATGATGTAATCACCATAAAAACGACCTACAAATTTCTAATTATTTTTAAGTGTTAGTATTCCTTCACCATACATTTTATTTGATTTAAAAGTATTCCATCTTCAATAGTATTTAAATTTTAAGGATTTATTTTATGTTTAATAAGGTATTGGGATTGATTGATTAGAATTCCAAATCCTTCATAAAGATTATTGAACCATTCTTCAGAATAGACTTCTGAATTTTAAGTATATAATTAGAACTCCTATTCCATGTCTTTATGATAGTGGTATTCCTTATCCTCTATAAATGCAACCAACTTCATATTTAAGATATAACTCTATATGAAATAGAGTAGAAATATCTTCTAATCGTTATTTGTAATGAGTATGACGAGTTAGTTAAGCCACTTTTAAGTAGCTTTCATGATATCTTAATTATAGGGTATTTATATAGGATCTTTCATTTGTTTAATGGAAGTAGGTATGATCTATAATATAGAATGGAATATTTTACAGAGATTCTAGGAGAGACAAGATATGGATTGTAAGATTATTGTGATTATTAAGGTTAGACATAATGAATACGAGAGTAATAATTATAATACATAAAATAAAATAAGAAGTATGAAAAATAGGAATAAAATGAATATTGTAATGGATAAAAGTAGAGATTCAAATTAAATGTGAAAAATAATAAAAGGATTTATTGAGATGTAAATAAAGTGTACTTTTAAAAAAAAAGAGTGTAGTATAAAATGAGTGAATATCCTAAAAGAATATTAGGTAAAAGAGTAAAGAATCCGAATATAATCTTTTACTTGATTGAATTTGAGACACCTACTCATAAAGTAAGAACATAATGGATAGAAATGTACAAATTGGGCAATTACTTAGATTTGATTGAGTAATATGAAACAAGAAACAATTAGAATTATTATATGGAATTATTAAAAGAGATTATTGAAGATGATAATTAATATGAATAGATTAGATAATTAGATTCATTAAAGACTACGGAAGATTAAATTTGTAGATAAACAACAACTGATTTTATGATTCCTTAACGTGAGAACTAAGAATTTGTATATCATTTAAAAAAAGAGAGTAATGAATAAATAGAATTGAATAAAGAGTTAAAGAATATAACAAAATCATTTTAAAAAGGAGGGAGTAGAGTTGCATTTACTGAATAATAGATAGTTAAGATAATAACATATGCAAAAGATGAATTAGATAATAATAAATATATGTTTTTAATTGAATGGAAACCAAGAGAAAGTGGTCATTTAATAAGACCTTCTTGGGTTGGTTAAGAAAAGATGATGTAATATGCTCAATCATTTTTAGAAAATTATGCAAATGAAAAAGGTTTTAAATTAAATTGAGGTTTTATCAAATTATATATATATATATAAATTAATTTATATTTATATATATATATGTCTCGAGATCCTCAAATGGAATTATTAAATATAGAACCAACTTTAAGAGAATTTGTTTAAATGCCATTAACTAATAAATTCTTTCAATAAATAGATACTGATTTTACTGCTGAACCTTGGGATGTACCTATAACTCCAGCTAAAACAAGTTAATAGAAGACAAGAACTATTACATTCAAATAACCAATTCTCAAATTTCAACCACGTCAATCCACTAATGAAACTCCAACTCACATATCTAGACCTAAAAGTTGTCATCATAAAAGTGCTTTTGTAGAAATTGCAGTTCCTACTCCTTAACCAACTTATCCTAAAGTCCTTTAAAGAATCATTATTTCTGCCTAACAAAAATCATCTCGTAAGAACTCAACTAGTCAATATCGATAAAAATGTCTCAAGAATATTCTACTAGCTTAAAAATAAAACAGTTAATAATGTAATTATACACACACAAATTATACACATACATCCACTGATTATTTTAATTTCATTTCATCAATCAATCCTGTTTCTCAAAAAAATAAAACAACCACAGAACCTTTATTAAAAAAATTTAAGCTTAAACTCAAAAATATGCTCAATTGAATTTATTTATAGTATCATTATAACACTTGTTATTGCTTTATCTTATTAATTATCATCTTTGGATCATATCTCAATATTTAACTATATACTTTTTTATTCACTATGCTATTTCCTCTTATCTAAAATACTCTTAAAGATGAAAGATTAAAATTCTATCTTTTCTATCTCATCAAATATCCAATCGCTACTATACTTGTAATCTAATAACCATCCAATCAATATTTTTTTATTATTCCTGGACAACATAATAATTTAGGACTATTTTAGAAATCAATTATATTTGTGATTTCAGAAAAATCAATTAATTCCTCTCCACTCTCATTTATAGGATAATTTATATATTTAAATTCCTCTTTTTTCCATTCAGATATTTTAGCATTAGCTTCATAATTCTTAAAATCTATTATTGTCTTTATTTATAAGGCATCCAACTATTTTTTACTATTGGCATTCAGGTTACTTCCTTAAAAATAATTTATTATCTTCAAGTTATTAAGGGAATTAAGAATAAGCAAACTATACTTTCTCATAATCTTTCTTGTTATCTAAATTTTCATAATTTTATCAAATTGTTTTAGATATTGTATAAAAAGGATATTGGTCCAAAAATCCCTCTACAGAACTTTTCAAATAATATACTTTGTAATCATTCATATTCAAACTATTTATTATATCTTTTATTAATTAAACATCTTATTCGATCTTTAAATACTCATCATTTATAAAAATTATTCTTCGAATTCTCTAAGTATTATATTTCTTTTCATTTTTATATGCATTTACATTATGTTTCTCAATATAAGATACAATAGATTAAATATTATTCTGAATGCAAATACTTCTTCTTATTTGTTTTTCCTCAAAAACTCTAACTTTCTTAAATCAGCCATCAATATATGTTTAGTATCCTAAAAATATTCAGAATAATTTAACATTCATCATATTATACAATTCCATCATTTGAATTGCTTTCATATTAGGGTTAATTAAAATTTTACCATATTAATCAATTTTAATTGTAATCAAACTAATATATTAATTTTTATTTCGTATTTCTATTAACACTTGAAATAATTTAAAATAATCTTTCTACAGAAATAGGTACTTACATTTTCTTAAATATAAAATGATTAAATAGAAAATGAGACAAAAAACAATCGACTTCCAATAAATTTAAAAAGGATAGATTAGACAATCTTGTTTGTTTTATTTAATTTCTATATAAATTCTTATAAGGAAATAAATAAACTTAAACATCATATATGAGTATTTCTTATAATAGCAACTTCAAATTTTTACACTAAAATAATTTTTAGAAAATAATAATTAATATTTAATGTAAGAATAAGTAATTGATCTTACAAAAATGAATTAAGGAAATGTAGATACAATAATTAATTAAATTGAAATCAATATCTAATAGAGAAAGTTAAAGTATGGAGATGATGATTAAAAAGTAACATTTTTATCTTAAATTTGATAATAGATTTTGAAATACAACCAAATTCTATGTAAATTGTTAAATCAACAAGCATTAATAGCTCTACAAGTGTAAAATTATGAGATTTGTTTAAAATACCTTAAGAAAGCTGAACTTATTACTTGTTTTGTTCCAGAACTTAAAGTATGATATCATTAATAAAATAGGCTCAAACATTGAGCAATTTAGCATGTTATTATAGAAAAATAGGAAAGACAAGGACGGCTCTCTAATATCTTTAGTAAGCTTTAGGAATTGAATTAAAGTAAATTATTTAATTCTATGTAGAAATGAAACAGTCACAACATTACCTGAATTATATCTCAATCTTTGTGCAGTATTTTCATAATTAGATAGACATGAAGAGGCTATATAACATATTTATTTATCAATAATAATGTTGCAACATGAACTATTACTTCAATTCTTAAAATAAAATTAATTAACAAGCAAAGATGTAATTTAAAAATAAAACTTATATGATTAAACAAATTAATAAATTAATAATTAATAAAAGGATAGATTATTTGAACAAATTCATTTAAATAAGGAATAAAAAGAGAGGATATAAATTTTGATTGTAGCTTACCATAATTTGGGAGTAGAAATGGAACACTTAAAATAAAGTCTTGAATCAAAAAATATTTTTAGATCTGCTTATTAATTATCATAAATAAGTCTTATATCTAATCATCCACTTAGATAGACTTTAGGATTAATTATTTAAAAGTATGATAATAGTGATTCTAAAGATAATATTGAATCTGTAAACTTAAAACCAATTTTACCAAAATTGAATCTAAGATCATATGATTATAAATAAGTTTATAAGAGTAATTCACCTAAATTCATTTAAAAAAAGAGACCTTAATCTCTACCAAAAAATAAAAGCAATATTGGTTCTAAAGAGGATAAAAGAAACATTTCAAGCGAGAAAACACAAATGGAAGTATATAAATTTATTAGGATTAATGATTTAAATGAAGAATATTTGTAAAACTTAGATAATAAAGATAACATAATATATAAAGAATTGTATATAACAATGGATACAGGAAATTAGAATACATTGATGTGAATTAATATTTTTATGTACTTGATTGATTATATTTATCAAACCTTTTACATTGATACAATGTCGACACTGGAAACATCATCTTCCCATGCTGTGATTTGATCAAATACATCATCTGTAAGGATCTAAAGATTTGATGAAATATTACCTTATCATCTTCAATGATCATTGACATGACAATCTTCTTAGCTCCATATGCAATTTCTTCATATTTAACTTCCTTTCCCCAAACTAAACCATCTGGATTGATAGTTTCTTTGATTTTTTTGGCTGTTGCTTCTAACAATTATTAATCAGTGGCTTCATAGATTTTAACTTCAAAGATCACAATAGTCTTAGCAACTGGTTTGGGTTTATTTTTTTTGGCTAAGGCTTCTTATTTCTTTTTTTCAGCTAATTCTTTAGCTTTCTTTTCAGCTTCAGGATCAACATCATCATCACCAAAGAGATCAACATCATCTCCATCTTTTTTTGGAGCTTCTGCTTTTGGTGCTTCTGCTTTTGGTGCTTCTGCTTTTGGAGCTTCTGCTTTTGGTGCTTCTTTCTTTGGAGCTTCTTTTGGTGCAGCAACTGGACCCCATTATGCTCTAACAGCTGGAGTGAAAGAGTTAAGGAGTAAAAACCAGAAATAAACTTCTGGGAATTAATCCTTAGGTGGAACACCTTTCAAACCATTAAAGATTCTGACATCATCAGCTCCTGGAAGATCTCCATTCAAATAATTTGTTGTTGCAAGGAAATCATTTACTTAACCTAAGTTGTCGACTGTAAAATGTGCCATTAAAAAAAGAATTTTAATTTCTGGATTTGATTTAAAATTAAATTTTGCATTTATTTAGTTTATTTTATAAAAAATACAAACAAAATCTTATCAAATATTCTTTCATAATACAAAATATTTAATTAATTCAAAATTATTTCATTAAAAGTAACTTGTTAATGTATTACATAAATTGTTAAAATCTACTATAGATGATTTTAAGACATCCAAACTATTACCATTATATTCACATTTCTTTTTATTTTGATCTTTTAGTATTTATTACATTAATTTTATTACTTATTATAATTCTTCCTCTTCAATTCTTTTTTATACTATTAAAATTACTTATTTTTATTATCAAAATTCNATTGATACAATGTCGACACTGGAAACATCATCTTCCCATGCTGTGATTTGATCAAATACATCATCTGTAAGGATCTAAAGATTTGATGAAATATTACCTTATCATCTTCAATGATCATTGACATGACAATCTTCTTAGCTCCATATGCAATTTCTTCATATTTAACTTCCTTTCCCCAAACTAAACCATCTGGATTGATAGTTTCTTTGATTTTTTTGGCTGTTGCTTCTAACAATTATTAATCAGTGGCTTCATAGATTTTAACTTCAAAGATCACAATAGTCTTAGCAACTGGTTTGGGTTTATTTTTTTTGGCTAAGGCTTCTTATTTCTTTTTTTCAGCTAATTCTTTAGCTTTCTTTTCAGCTTCAGGATCAACATCATCATCACCAAAGAGATCAACATCATCTCCATCTTTTTTTGGAGCTTCTGCTTTTGGTGCTTCTGCTTTTGGTGCTTCTGCTTTTGGAGCTTCTGCTTTTGGTGCTTCTTTCTTTGGAGCTTCTTTTGGTGCAGCAACTGGACCCCATTATGCTCTAACAGCTGGAGTGAAAGAGTTAAGGAGTAAAAACCAGAAATAAACTTCTGGGAATTAATCCTTAGGTGGAACACCTTTCAAACCATTAAAGATTCTGACATCATCAGCTCCTGGAAGATCTCCATTCAAATAATTTGTTGTTGCAAGGAAATCATTTACTTAACCTAAGTTGTCGACTGTAAAATGTGCCATTAAAAAAAGAATTTTAATTTCTGGATTTGATTTAAAATTAAATTTTGCATTTATTTAGTTTATTTTATAAAAAATACAAACAAAATCTTATCAAATATTCTTTCATAATACAAAATATTTAATTAATTCAAAATTATTTCATTAAAAGTAACTTGTTAATGTATTACATAAATTGTTAAAATCTACTATAGATGATTTTAAGACATCCAAACTATTACCATTATATTCACATTTCTTTTTATTTTGATCTTTTAGTATTTATTACATTAATTTTATTACTTATTATAATTCTTCCTCTTCAATTCTTTTTTATACTATTAAAATTACTTATTTTTATTATCAAAATTCTTTTCTTCTTATTTCTAACATTATTAAAATTATCTATCTATTTAATCATTATTTTTATCTTAATTTTATTTTCTAAAATTTATTTCTCTATTTAACTCATTTAAACTCTATTTCAAAGAATCACAAATATCAATCTCTACATTTATTTCATCTTTTTCTTTATCATTATTACAAATTTATTTATTTTGCTAAAATAAACTATTTACTCTATTTTAATCTTAACCAAATGAAAATGCTGATTCTTAAATCTAATTACAAAAATCTAATTATTCTTGATTATTTCCATCTTGATTAATATTTTTTACTTAATTTTTAATCTCTAAATCAATATATTCCTCACATTCTGTTAAAATGTGTTCAGCACTATGTCTAGAATCAATAAATAAACTTTCAACTAATTAATTTATTTCTAATTATTTTAAAGAGCCTTGTCCAAAATTAAGTTAGTTTTCTGATTTCTTATTACTTAGACAACTATCATAAAATTATAGTGAATACTTATTTTAAAGAAATGGCATAGATAAATTTTATTCGATTTAAATAACAATTTAATCTAATAAATTCTTAACTATTTCATAGCAGCCATTCTCTTCATTTAAATCTTTTTATTTAATTTTATTTTGTAAATTTTTTATCTCATTCTCAAGTTATAAAATTCTCATTTACAAATCAATTACAATTTGACCTTCATTTAATCCTAATAAATTGATAGAATTTTTTAATTCGATATCAATATTTTATTCAATTGACTAGTGAGTATTTAGTGACTACATAATAGATTTATTACTATTAAATTATAATAATTATAAATCTTTTTATTAAAGAACTATTTATTAAAATTACTAATAATAGTCATCCTTTTATTATTTCAGTATATTTATTTCATTAACCTATTATTCCAATAATTATTATGAATTTTTTTTATGATTTTCAAATTACTCTTAAATTATGTGAATTTATTTTTTTAAATCATAATTTTGTTCCTCTAATTAGTGTTATAAATCAATACTAACTTATTATTATTGCTTATAAAATCTATCATTTTATTCCAATTAATCATTTAACTATTTTGATTTTCTTTATGATTATTCAAATAAAATAGAGATTTCAATTATTTCATTTTCTAATTTATGAATTTTTTGGGAAAATTATCTATTTTCAAATTCCCTTTATTCATTTAACTTCTATATTTATTAATCTAATTAATTAATGATTTAGTTTAATTTTAACTGTTTCTCTTGATATTCAATCTTGAGTTATTTTATTTGGGAAGTTAAGTTTTCATTTTTTAATTTTTCTTCTTATAGATTTTGATTTTCTTTACCAGAATGATACATCTCAAATCTTTTGACTTCTTCTAACTTATTAGCATATTATGAAGTAATTTATGATAACTCAGATCTCCACTATTAATTTTATTTTTCTTTTGACATCTGTATTAGTGAAGAATTTCGAAAAGTTATTTCTTATTATTATTAATCTCTTACATTTTTATTTTATTTCAAATCTTATTATTGTTGTATTTAATTTCTTAAATGAATATTCTAAAAATTTGTTAAGAAAATACTTACATAATTTTAAAGTGTTTAAATTTAATTATCAAATTCATGCAATTTTTATGTTAAAATTAAAATTTGTTATTAAAGTAATTCTTCTCTATTTTTAGAATCCTCATATTCTATGATAGTTTTAGCTAATTATTTTTTCAATTATTCATTTTCTTATTCTTATTCAACCATGACCTTATCAACTTCTTCTAAAAATCCTTTATGTTATTCTTCCACTTTCTCTAATTTTATTTTATAATGTATATCTGAATTACTCTTGTAATTATCCTAATTTTTGGTCTATTTTTGTTAAATTTCTAATTTTTATATAATATTTTTCTTCACTTCTAATTCTTATTTAAGTTACTATACAAGTTCCTACTAAATTATTTGAATTAAAATACTTCTAAACCTACAGTTTAATTAATTTATGGTGTATTAGTTATTTTCATAGCTCTCATTCCAAATGTAAGACTTGAAAGTGTTTCTTCAACATGTTTTACAGCTGGTCCAATATTTATAATCAAAGCAGTCTTACAATTCCCTCCCAAAGCTTCTTATAAGATTCTTGTTAATTTAGAATCTCGGAAAGGAATGAAAGTATATTTTGTGCAAGTTAAAGCATGAATACATTTTCCTAATGCTGTTAAAGAACAGTTTATAGATCTAGCTTCATTTAATCTATCCCCTGAAACTTTTGATTTCTTGATTCTTTCACTTCCAGCCAAATCAACTAAATATAATGTACCTACACTACAATTGATATTTTAATTTAATTGACCGAGAATAAAATCTTATGAAAGATTACTTTTTGATGTGTAATTTTTATTAAATGTTGTTACTGATTTAGAATGTTATCTTTAAAGTTTCTTATCTAATTTAATTATTAAAATTGAATGAGATCTTGATGAATGAGCATTTAGATTAGTAAATGCAATAACCTTATTTTTTTCTGCTTAATTGATAATTTTCAAACATTCAGAAGGAGATTCAACTGTAAGCCATTTTAAACCAGAAACAAATACTCCATGATCAAGTGATTCTCTAATTTTAACTTCAGAATTATCAGGTCTAATTAAATCTAATAACTATGTATTTAAAAATATAAATTATTCGATACCATTTCCATGTATATATGCAAATATCCAATTTATACAGAATAAGAATAATCATCATCAAGAGCAATTTCATTAAATATTTATTCAAAAGTACGTGGTATAATTCCTTTTTCTTCAGTATCAATTTTACCCATCATTGTATATGTTTTACCTGTTCCTGTTTAACCATAACAAAATATAGTTCCATTAAAACCTTTAATCGCACTCTATCATTTTTAATCAAATTTAATACTGTAACAATGTTCCTTGCTATTTCATTATAAATTTAACTTTAAGTTACTTTAGGATCAAATATGGTGTCAAAATTAAATTGCCTTTTTTCGAAGTCTTTCTTAACTGATTAATGAATTATAGACAATACTAATGATTGACTTTTTTTAATTGTCAATAGAATCAACACAAATAGCTTTATCCTTTGCTAGTAACTCTTATTCTATTAAAGGGCGAAGACGTACTGCTACTTTAACTTTTTCATACATATTTTTGTTTAAATTTTAAATAATGAACGGTTTAATAAATACATTTGAGATTATGGTTTTTATAATATCAAGGTTTCTTTTTTGTTGCTTAAGAATCATCCAAAATTTGATTCAAAGTTTTACTAAAGATAAAAATATTTATAATACTTCTTTAATTATTGTAAATGTTTATCTTATTGATTTTTCATGATTAATTTTTAAATATTATACATCTTAATGAGCGAGGAGCTATTTTGAGATTTGAGAATAGTAGAACTTTTATCATTAACTTTTTCTTATGAAGCATTCATATTGATTTTTTCACGACTAGGTATTTTATATAGATTGATACATGTTTTTCATCATGACATAGGAATGTTAAGTGCCAGAACTTCTTTTTTCCCTAGTTTATTGACTATCACAATTTTATATGACAGATGTACAATTATCTTATGAGATTCCCTATTACTTATTATATACTTGATTGCCCATGATGTAGGATTTTTTAAATAAACTAGGACTTGATTCTCTGGTAGCATTTTATGAAGAGATTTTTCTTTCTTGAGTTTAGAGTATCGTTTTATTCTTATAAATTAGAATAAAGATTGAATACTTTATCAAGTAATTCTTATTTTTCCTTTTCTAATTAATCGATTTTCTCTTAAAGACTGTCTGAATATAACTTCATTTATTATTCAACCTAAAATAATAGGGAATTGAAGTATTACTCTAACATGATTTCGAATTTCAGCTTCAGCCTTCTAAACAGCTTTTTCTAATTAATCATAATCAACACTCTTTTATTGTTACACTAATTCAATCAGTATGGTCACTTATTATTTTAAAATTTTGATTAAATCATCGAGGTTAGGTTTAAGATCAAAGTCACTCTTAATTACTAATTGAATCTATTAATAGAAGATGATTTATACATCTTGTACAATCTTAAGTAATTAGTTATTAATGTTCATAATTTATTATTATCAAAATGTAAACATCTTAAGTTTATCATATAATGAGTGACAAATTTCACTCCATATATATGTCAAATATACATGCAGCAGAACAGATGAATCTACTTCGATCTAAAAATTTAAGAACCATTATTTGTGTTGACAAGAGTCCCACTAAATATTATACCGATTTTGCAAAATATTACGTAATTATTTCATTCGTAGTATTTAGTAAGTATTCTTACAAGACAATAAATCAACAAAATAACTTAAAAATATATGTGAATTAATCTAGAATGGATTAAAATTATCATCAATTCTAATAATCTGTAATAATGGATTATAAGGAGCACCAACTATTGTAATTGCTTATCTCATTAGTCGAGGCTGGAAATATGAAAAAGCATTTTATTATGTTAAAGAAAAACATAATATTATAAATCCAAGCCTGTAATCTAAAAAACAATTGATTGAATTTTATGAGTCAATCTCTATTTAATAACCTAAGGAAGAAGAATTTACTAAATTTACATAGGTTCTTAAAGAGATGTGGGATAATTAAACTTATTTTGAAGAATCACCATACTTTGAAACTATTACTGACTCTTTTCAAGATGATGGTAATAAAACACCTGGGTTTATATCACCTACTAATATGATTAAACGCAATTCTATAAGAAAACCTACTACTTCTCGTAAAAGTAGTATGATTAGATGTACTTCTTGTAATCAAAATAATGATACCAATGTATAATATACTTTTCTATTTTAGCTCAATTATTCATTTCACTTTGATGAAATAAATTAATAAGATTTAGAATTATAACAAGAAATATTGTCTCCATAATTCTTATAAGTTTAAGAAATTAATGAAGAATAAGAAGAAAAATTAATTAAATTTAGATCAAGAAGAAAATTTATAAGAAACAGAAGTGCAAATCTTAAAATTTGATTATTTTTCAATATTTATCTATAGATTTTAACTTTCCTTTATCATTATATATCTTCAACTTAAAAATACACAAAATTTTATTAGATTTTTTATATCAAATAATTTTCTATACTGTTTTTTCTTACTTCAAATATAATATTTTGATAGTTATCATTAAAAATTAAATATGACACAACTCTAAAAGAATAAATAAATGAATTTGTTTATAAAACATATAATATTTTTATATTTCGATAAAGTTTATTGTCATATTTTAAAATTATGTAAATAGAAATATTTTAGACAGAGAAAAGTCATCACAATATAAATGGTAACAAATTCAAAAAACTAATTTTATTTTTTTAGATGAATTATTGTATTTATGATTTATTATTATTAATATGGAGAAGTGGAGACATTCTATTTATTAACCACCAAGCTTATTTATAGAAAGAAAACGAACAGCATAATACCGTAGACTTGATCCACTATTAGTGACTCCGTTAACAAAGTTTGATCACAAGGCCTATGATCAACTATTCAAATCATAAGCTAACTAACATTTGAGGATCCGAAATCTTTCATTACAATCTGAGAGAGTTCAAGAGACACCAAAACAACTAGGTTTAGAGGATATTGTCTATAAATTATAAAAAATTCGAAAACTTAGGAATACTTGATTTAATTAAAATAACAATGTTAACTACTTTATCAAAATAATCTAAAAATCCTTTAAAAAATATAAATAAATATATTTTATGTGCAAATGTTAATAATATAAATATCATTTATAGCTATAATTAGTATTTTTTAGAAAAATTCAGAGTTTTTAAAAATATAAAAATAATATAACAATAAGATTAATTTTTGACTCAATAATCAACGTTGAACTTAGATTAAGTATGCAACAATAAATATATAATTATACTCTTATATAGAATAATGATCCATATCACCAAAAGGATATCATGGTTAAAATCTATATCCCTAAAAATGTAATTATAAAACAGATTACAAAAGAGATGAAGTTGGATAAAAGTTAGTTTAGTTCAGCTTTTTAAACTTAGAATATATGTAATAGAAAAATTTATATAACTTATTATTTTAGATAAAAATTAAAAAAAACTAGATTGAATGATAATGATTAATTTTTTTCAATGAGTGCATTAGACAGAATATAAATAAAGTAATTACATGATTCTTGGTAAGAATTAAAAGAATTAATAAAAAATACTGAAAAAATAATATGCTATAATTGATAGAAAGAACTAAAAAATATTAATGAAATAATTAAATACGATAATATAATAAATATATGTACGAGCTATCTCAATGTTAAAGATTTTTCATTTTAATTTTAAAGGAGAGATTTGATGATGAGAAAAGCGAGAATTAAAAATCGATAAGAGAAATTAAAAAGTTTGATTAGAAAAAAATTATAAATTCAGTAGAAATCTTCCTAAATATTAATTTAGAAATCTGATTTAATTTTCATACTAAAGAATAAAGTAATTAAAGATTGTTATTCATGACTAAAGAGATTCTTTATTTGTTTAATAAATTAAAGAAGATGATCGAAATGAAAACAAAAATGAAGAAGATCTAATTAGATCAAAATTTAATGAGTTAAATAGTTTTTGTTTTTTGTTTTAGAAATTTTGAAAATGTATGAAAGATCACTCTTATTGAAATAAGGATAAGTATTTCTTTAGAATTAATTATTTTGTATGATGCAGATGATTCTCAATATTGGAAATCAATATCTTGAGTTCCTTTATTTTTTTCTCTCTGTCAAGATTCTAATCCCTATATTTAGTAAAAAATAATCTTACTCTAGCAATTTTTATATCCGAATCATGGTATTTTGAATGTCCTATTCTTCAGATTCTTCATTAAGAACTCTAAGTTTCTTAATGAACGATCTTTTGATTGAATTTATTGTGCTTCCAGGAATTTACTAAGCAATTTGATTAAAATTGGAGCCTCTTCTTATATTTTCCATTATAAAACGATTCTATTAAATAGTAAGTCTCTTCTTTCCTACAATATAAATAAATTCTAACCTTTTCTTTTACTAGAAGTTGTTTTAGACTTTCTTTATTCTCTTCGACTCTCCTTTTCAGACATCTATGAGGAACTGTCTTCATCTTTTAGCTTTATCTTTTCTTCAACCAATTATTCAACTTCATCTATTGATTCAGCTAAAGATTAGATTTTCTCCTCCCCATCAAATAAGTATTCCTCACACTTCTATGCTGAAATTTCCAGTATAGATGGTTAAGGTTGGTTTTATTAACTACATATTGTTGATTCCTCTTCCTTTTTTGGAGTTTTTAGTTAATTTTCCCAAAATTTACTAGCAGACATCGTAATATAGGCAAAGTTTTGAAGGTTCATTAACTTCAATTTATAAAAGAGAAAATAATAATTATAATCTATTTTTTCACTTATTAAAGTATGAGGAATCTTTTTAAATTACAAAAAAAAATATATCCATCTTATTATAAAAATAGAAAAAAAGAATCAAGTTCAATATTGTAGAGTTTCTTAATTAGCAATTGTATGCAGCTGAAAATTAATGAGAATTTCTAAATAATTAAAATTCATGATAATAATAATTGATTCATATTTATTACATCTATCAATGCAAACTTGTATAATTCATTTCAATAGATTACTCTTATCTCACTAACTATTGAGATCCTGATTCAGTAGATTCAAATCGTATTCTTAAAAATTAATAAAATATATATACATTTATTTAAGTTTTCTATTTCTAATAAATAAGCAAACGATAGCTAATAAAAGAATTGATATAATTCCAAAAAGTATTAATCTTCTTTATCCTCTTTACTTTGATTATAAAATAACATTATCAACTTTCATTGTAATAGTATCATAATAATAATATAGTGTAATTTCTTCAAAATTTTTGGTATAAATTTTGACTAAAAATAAATGATAAATATTTACCTTTAGCTAGAATACTAAGAGCTATTTTTTGGAAACTCTAATCAACGGTAAATGAATGATTGAGTTCCTTCAATTTTTGATGTTTATCTAACCTATATGATTTTGAAGGGAATGCAATTGAGGAATCACAATGATAGAGAGGGATTTCTTCATCTGTTAAATTATACAATTTATAGATGAAATTGTATGAGTAAGTTAATATTTTATAATCAGAACTAGATTATTCTGAAACTTAAATAGGACTATAAAAGACACTTATAAATTCGCCATCGTAATTAGTTGAGAATTCTCCTCCATCTCCAGGTTCAAATTTTTCATAAGGAACAATACTACTTTATTGAAGAATATTGACTTTAAGAATGTAATCAAGATAATCATTTTATGGAATGAGACTTTTTGTTGCTTTAGTACTTAAGTAATAAGGACCTGATGAGCTAACAGGTATAGTTCCAATAATTTATTTATTGTGTTTGTATTCCATTTTTTAGATATATGATCCTTTTTATAAATTTTCGATATTATCACTACCATAAACACTCATGATTCCTCCACATAATTATGCTTAAATTAATAAAGTTGAAGGTTGATAAACATTAATTTCCCAAAATCTTTATTATCCAATTTTATTGGAGACATATCTTGATAATTTTGGAGCAAGAATATTCAAAAAATCATTACCCAAAGTTATAGTATAAGGTAGATTTGAACTTTCTCTGGGTGTAATTTCTAAGAAATATAATCCAGGAATGCTTGAAAATTCAAAATGAATGATTTAATCTGTCTAATTGAATTTTAAGAATTAAACTTCTTGATAATTATGATAATCGCTTAAGAAATTAGGATTATTAAAAAGATCTTAATTTAATTTTATAAAAGGATGTTAAGTTTTCGTTTAAATTCTATAAAATGAGTGCCCATAGGTTTCAATATCAAGTGTATAGAATCCTTCTTAATTTTCATAATCCTAATGTCTTTCAGGAATGAAAAAATAGAAAGGAACTGTAAGTGTTGAATTAAATCTAAGTGCTTAAGGTTCACCAAGTTTAAGTTCTATTGCTTATTATTTTTAAATGCATTCTATTTTATAAGTTGACTTCTAATTTGAATTTGATATTATTTTAAATCTAAAAATATATTTTGCTTCTTCAGATTTATTTTTCATTATTTCAACTGTTTTATTTGGAAATAAACCTTCACCATAAGTAGGTTTTCTTACTTTTCCATCTTCATCCTTTAATCCATCTAAAATATCAAGACTAAGCAAAAGTTAATCAATTTCTTCATATATTTTAAAGAATCCTCCATAAATTTGTATTTCACCTTCATAAATTGTTGCATTAAAATAAAAATCATCCTCAGCTAAATAATGATAATAATGAATTGAATTAGATTCAATCTAATTTGTAATTTCTACATTATCAAGTAATTAAGTTGATTCATTCTCTAAAGATATAGTTATTGATATATCATTTCCTAAATTGAAATTTTATACATAAATTAAATAATAACAAGAAGTACAGTAGTGAATATTTTTTTTAATGTGTAAAAATTATTCGCTCATTTTCCATTTAGGACTAAAATAATAAAAGAATAAATTACTTTTCTTTAACTTGTTTGATTGCCTCTGCCTACATATTCATTTCCTTATAAGGTAAAACATGGACATTTGCTCTATTGTATTGAGTTATTAGATTGGAACTAAAAAGTATAGTAAATTCAGAATCTTAAGCATGATAGTAATTAAGATAAGTTTCAGAATTATATTCTGCAAAAAAGTTCATTGGCACTGCTTTTTTTAATTAATAAAAGTGTAGATCTCCAAAATTGATTTAGATTGAAAATTTAACATCTTCGAATGCATAGACGCCAACACTAGATGATTAATAAAATTAAAATATTACTAATAATTAACTGCTTCAGTTGATTCTGAATTTGAAGGAATGATCAATTAGTCTCCTATCATAGTATTTGAACTATATTAATATGTATCTAAAGTAGGCATTTCATTTTAACTAGCTAAAACTATTAGACTACCTGAACTCAAAGGTGATACTATAACCATAAGTCCAGATGATAAAGTAACATTAGAAATTTTGAAATATTTAATCTTCATTTTTTCAGCATCCCCATAATATATTATAGATGGATATAAAGTTTAATAACTTGAAGATCTTGTTATTACATAAGTTCCTTTTGAATCATATTTCGGGTCCTTTATACAAGTTACTGCAATATAACAACCATCTAAAAGACACTGATTACTTTCCAGAAATTCTTTAGATATGAATATTGAACTTCCTATATCATTTTAATCATCTAAAGATTGCAAAACAGAATTTGAATTGTTTGTTGGGAATTATTCTAATAAAGGTTACTAATTAAATATTTGAAGATATATTTGAACTTCTCCTGAAATTGAAAACACTGATATTTCTGTCTCTTGATTACTCAAAAAGAATAAATAATGATCTGCTTTATTCGATAAAGGCTTTGTTACTGGCTCTGCATCATATAAAAACACGATAGATGATTCTTTAGAAATTAATAATGAAAAATAAGTATCTTAGGATGCACTAACCATTATAGTTATTTAACATTTAACTATTTCTGTTGCATTTGTTTTGCATTTCTCATACTACAAATCTTATTCTTTTATTAATTAACTTGAGGTTGTCATTTAATAATCTTGATTACCTACATAAATTCTTGCTTATAAAATAGATTCATCATAATATTCAACATTCTTGGTTACTAACAATTCATCCTTTTTAAAGTAGCTTAAGAAGAATGTTTATGTGTCATCTTTATTTATGTAACCTCTATAATTATCACCTAAAATCAATTCAATTGGTTAATTGTTTATTCGATAATAGATTTAATATGATAATTAATTTGATGACAATATCGGACTTGCTTCTACTCTAATGTACAAATATTATGGATAAATCTAACTTCTAGTACCTATCGATAAGAAATCAGTTCCATTCACAAATGCTTTAGTTTTGTCAATCTCTGGATGATCGAATCCATACATCAAGAAACTACCTTAAATTACTCTCAATTTCACATCTACAGAATAATGGTATGTCTACTCAGGATTGTAATAGGCACTTAAATCTACTTTAAATAATTAGACATCGCTATTGTTTTATGATGTAATCTCTTATGGATAACCATCCAATAACAAAATATATTAATGGGGATATTTTCCTACCTGACTCCAATCTCCCCTATTTCTAAATATATAAACTGTTATTATATATTAACATGCTGTATAACCCTTTACTGTAATATAATATACACCGTTTATTGCTTCTTGATCTCCTTATAATCCATAAGTGATCACATTTTAAACACCCTATTTATCTTCTTGATTTGGTGTCTTGTTTGTTTTAGATGCAAATATTTTTGGCTGCCCTTATATTGGTGTTACTTAAATCATCATTCTTCTTATGTAGTCTTACTCTTCAACTTTGAATTTATAATAATTCTCTAATCCCAAACCTACAAATTACTTTAGAGGAGTGTTTTCCCTCAATAGGGTTGACTCACCTTATGAAGTTATGAGAATTGAATAAATCAACTCTTCTTGTGTATTATCTTATCCAGGATAAATCATTACATCATAAAAACATTAAAATGTGTTATCATATTTTTGGCATTATTCTGGATTATTATCAAAAACAATGATGTCATTACCAGGTCTAAATAGAATAGAAGAATAAATTACTTATCTGAAAAGAAAAATAATCCTCCAGGTGTAGAGTTAAATCTTTAAGCCCTAGAATTGATATCATCTTTAGAGATAGCACAATTCCACAAAGTTTCGCATTGTTTAAGTATAATGTCAGCATCTCCTTTGATATTTTTGAGGCTTACACTAACAGTTTATTTTTCAATGTTTCTGATATAGAATTTATATTAAATAAATGAGTCTTTTGATAATTTAGCAGTGGTTGGTTTATTGAGTTCTAGTAGCATGAAATTAGGATCAACAATTTATGATTTTAATTCAAAAGTAGCATTTGATTCTTTTCCTCTGACAGCTACATATGCATAAGTAGCTTTAGAATTATATTTAAAAAGATCTGCTTTTGAAATAACAAGATCATCAGTAATTCTATCTGTTAATTACCATTGATATTAATCTAAGAATGGTGGTTGGTAATCTAGATTGACAAACATTTCAGTAAATCCTTTAAAGGGCAACAATTAAATATTGAGCACAGTTAATCCAGATAGAATAGATGAGGCATCTTATGTAAGATCAATACAATAGAATTAATAATCATCTTCAGCCACAATATCTTCAACTTTATCACCTAATTATAAATATCTCATAGTTCCATAAGTTCTGGTTTATATTTGAACGATGAGTCCTTCTTAACCCTCTACAAGTAAAGTGAATACACTATAAGGTTCTATATTATGAATCTTGAATTTTTGCATTCCTGAGAATGTATCTTATCCAATATAGTCTTACTTTTAAGAAGTTGGTTTAGATGTTCCAATATTTAAATATGATTTGAATGATTCTTATAATATTTCTATATTTTTCACTCTTACTTAAATTTCTAAAGTAGGTTTTGTCTGAGTTTCATCTTTCGTTAGGTTCTTTGTCTCAATTCTAATGACATCAGTCCAAGAATTGTTATCATATTTGAATTCTAAGTCATCAGCTATAATAATAAACATTAGGATAATTACAATTTGACATCACCAATTCAGATTAGTAGACAACTTTTAATGAATATCTGCAATAACTATCACACTGCACAGCTAAATAATATGGTCCCTTTTAAGGATTTTCAATCACACAGATATCTATTTATTAATCAGAATATTACCCATTCCAACTGAGTCACATATCTACTCTGCTGTGTTTACATTTGGCTCTGTTAATTTAGAAGATATATAAATATCTGGATTCCCTAACGCAGACTATTATTTCACTACCACCACCAAATCTGCATCCTATCTCACCTCCTTCAACTCAAACCAATACAATTCATATTTTGCATTTCCATGCCAGGGCATTATAGCTCTAAATTTATATTTTATCATCAAATTACTTGCTTACAGTCTCTCCAATCTCTATTTTCTGATTCCCCAAAACAGAATATGTCATACACAATAAACCAAAAAACATTATTTAAATATATATATTCTGTATTAATCAATTCTCTTCTCAAATATTAATCAATCTTACATCTCCATTATCCTTATTAACTCCATTTTCTCTCATTAATTCAATATTATTTACAATACTTCTTTTCAGCCTTTTTAATTCTACCTTTTCTAATCTAGTGCTTTACAAAGATCCAAATTAATACCATTAGTACAAATTTCTATACTTCTCATTAATATTAATTTTATCTATAAAAAAGCATCTCAAACAATCTAAAAAACTATTTCACACCTTTTTAAACTTATATCCAAATTCAAATCTTCCTTTAATTTTTATCAAATTTTTTTATCTATTATTTATATTAATTCATACCCCCATACAACTTTCTCTTTCTTTTCTAATCTTATTATACTATAAACTTCTTGCTTCTCATAACATTTTCATCTGTTATGCTCACCTAGTTTATCATCCTCTCTCAATTCCTTAACCAAGTTTTATTTTTATCTAATCTTTTATTCTTTCTAATAATAATTCTTTACCTATATACATACATTTCTCCTAAAAATCATCCAAATCTTTTTTATTATTTCTACCTCTAATCCTCAAATAAATACCAGCTAAATAGAATTAATTTACTTTATTTTTTATATTTCCAACTTATTTTTACCAATAACTTTAACTTTAACTCTAACTTTTTGCAACTTAAATAAGTTTTTATATTTTTCATTATGCTATTTACACTCAATTAGAATTTTAACAATCTTCACTCAATTTTTATTCTACATTTTTATTACAAAAAATTTAACTATTATTCTTATATTAGATCTATTTAATATTAATATTATATGTTTCGAAATTAAATAATATTATTCTGATTCTTTTTTCATAAGAGATTGTAAGAGTATTATATTTTTTATATCAAGAATTTCTAAAATGAAATCATACCCCAATCCTTTATATCTATAAAGTATTGATCTATTTTTAGAATTAGATTTAGTTTATATATATTTACTAAAATTTTATTTTGCGATTTGTAATTAGATTTTTTCATGAAATTAAATTATAAATTATAAAATCTTTAGTGGATATAAATCATTTTTTAAGGATAAGTATAAAGAAAAGAATATCTTTAAAAAGTAATTGCAAATTTTTTTTAATTTATTATATCTATAGGAGTAATTTAGAATTAACTAGAACGAAATTTGATAAATATATTTAACTAGAATTTAAGTTTGAATTAAAATATGTCAGATCATTCTACTTAATAGTTTGGGAAACTTAATATTGTTATTTAGTAACAGATAAAATCTGTTTATGTTTCAAATTAAGATCGTAGTAACTATTAACAGGAGCACATAAGAAAGAAGAGTTTTAATGAAGTGAAAAATGTTAAAGTTCCTTTGTTTATGGGTATTAATCATCAGACTGATTGGAGGGATTTATGGGTTCAATTTAAAAAAGAAACATCGATAGATGAATAGAATTCAATATTAGAGAAAATATTGTAATTAAAAACTTGATATATATAAATATAAAATGTTAATACCATTAATTGGTAATGTTGGGAAATTAGAAAAACCTAAAAAAACTTTATACATATCGTAACCCATTAACTTTCAAACAAAAGGAGCAAATAGAAATGATTAAATGTTAGATTACATTCCAAACTCAACAAAGACAAGTACTTTTAGATCTAATGAAACTGGCAATTTTTATTAAACTCAATATGGATTAGGTGATAAGACAAAATAATTTATGTAACATTAAGACCAGATTTAAGAGAAGATTCATTGTAAAAAAGTTGTGAAACAAGGTGTTGATACTTTTGCTTTAACATAGTCAACATTAAATATTTTTGAGGGTAAAGTAATAAGTGAATTTAGAGGCAAATAATGAAGAACGAAAAAAGTATATAGATTATACAGGAGTTCCTAAGTTTGAGAATTAGGATAAAGTGATAAAATATTCAGTTGTAGGATATCAATAGTTTTTAAAAATTCATCAAGAAAAACAAAGATAATATTAGCGATTAAAGAAAAATTAATAAAATTAATTGACAACAGATGATTCTATATTTGATGAATAACCTCCAACAAGAACAAATTAATAAGCTTAATCAATTATTTTAGATAAATAGCAAGGAAAAAAGACTCCGAAGAAGAGTAAAGTAGATTAGCGTTATTTAATCAAAAGAGATTTGAATTAAATATTAGAAGAAGCTGAGAAAAATATATAAGAAGCATAGATAAAATAAGAAAAAGCAGAAGAAAAGCTTCCATTTCACTTAAGAAATGCAGTTTCAAGGGAAGATAGAGCAATTAAGAAGTTTGAGAATATAAAAACTTAATGGGAAAATGTGAATATATAAGTGGCTTCTAATTGTTAAAGAGAACCAGAAGAAACAATTATGAGTAGAGCAGATTAATATAGAGAAAGAAATTAAAAAATTTAAGCTATCGAATTAAGTAAAGGTGAAGATGAAAAAAACAGTAGTAGATATTGGTATCTTAAATTAAGATGGTATGATCACAAAGATAAAAGACCTTAATTCTCATTACTAACCTAATCAAATTAGTCAAAGAGTTGTTAAAAATTTGAAAATAGGTTGGTAAATCGATTCTTATCAGACATTGATGCAGAAAGACTTGCTTAATAGTAATAATTTGTTTTATCAGACATTTAAGCTAATTTTAATTCTAAATTGATAGATAATCCATTTAAATAAGTTGAAACAGTTATTTCAGAAAACAGTAAGTATTTTTAATTATTCTAGGGATTAACCAATATGAAAATGTTCAGTCTCCAAAAACAAAATTATATACTTCTTAACTTGTTACTCTTTATAATCAAAAGTTGTAAGACAAGGCTAAGAAAAAATTTGTTGATTGCAAAAACTTTCTTTATTTAGCTGGAGAAAGTTAAAAGAGCAGAGAAATTAAAATGTTAAACAGAGAAATAGGAAAATAGTTTAAAATTGCAGAAATTCCTAATGAAGAGCCAGAAATCATTGCTAACACTTGGGATAGAAAGAATTTAGCCAAATCTGGAGAATATGTTTTATTCTGATTTTATTTATTTTTTTAACGAATTAAAGAATGAGTTCAATAGAAACTTAATAAGAGTTATGTAAATTTTTTCAGGTTATTATCAACGGGATGAGGTATGTCTAAATATATAATTAGAGACGACTAGATCGGTGTTTAGAATTTATTTAAGAAATAACTGATAATGAATTCATTCCTTCATTTTTTTAAAATTCTGTTTGTAGAATTGATTAATTATCTGATTATTTATCCTCATATCAAATTGAAACTTAAACCTACGAATTAAAAGATTTGATTGGTCGATTAGGTGGGTATGAAGACAAATTAATGTTTTCAAAATTTAAAGAAAGATATCTTGGATAGCCAGGTATGACACAAAAAAAAGAGGCAGATATTACTTTTTTAAGGTTATTGTATGAAGAAATAAAATTAGAAAGATAATTAGATGATTAAAGGTATAAAGTTTTTAAGAGATGGGATTATAATTGTTAAGTGCTATTTAAAAAGTTATCATTTGGAACAAATTTAGTGGATTCAACAAAACTGAAGAAATTCTTTATAAGAATAAGGTAAACAGTGACAGATGATGAAATTGAATTACTATTAAAAAGAATAGGGAGAGGAGATGGAAATATTATGACATATGAAGATTTTAGTTAAGCCATAAAGACATAAAGATAGAGATCATCAGATAAAATAGAGATTCCTTAAATGAAAATAAGTACTGTGATAAGGAGAGAACCTTAATATTAGAGTTATATGGAGAAATTGAGAAGAAGATATAAACCACTTCAAACATAATAATCAGTTATAATTCATAAGATTGATAATAGAGGGTGTCACACACCTAGAGCTAAGACTCCAACAACAACAACTAGAACAACAGAAGCAAAATAGGCTAGAACAAGAACTCCAAATTAAAATACAGAACCTAGATCATTTGTTAATGAATCAAAAGAATTCAATACTTTGATATCAGTCTATTTAAATTAATAAAGGTGTTTGTAAAATGTAATGGCCTAATTAGAAGAAGTAGTTGTGTTAAAATCCCTTAATTCAAAGGATTGGCATAAAGAATGGTCTGAATTGGAAGTTGATTCTAGAAATATCTCTCAAGAATATTTTTAAAATGTTCTAAATTATTATGATGAAAGGAAACCTTTGCAATAAAAGATCAATATACCAGACTTGTAGAGTTCAGTATAAATTGTAGCCAAAAACTTATTTTCTTTATTAAGAGAATAAGAATTACAATTGTAATAGGCTAGATTGTAATTTTTGAGGGAAGGAACCTTAACATCTTTAGATAGGTATCTACATAAAGGATATATGGATGTACTTGATGTACTGTAGATATTAGAACATTCAACCTCTAGAAGTGTAACTTTATCTGATGCAGAATTGATGATTGCCAAATTTAATAAATTTGATGGCAAAAAAACTATTACTAGAAAAGCTTTATTAAATGAATTAACTTGATATAATTTATCATTATTCGCTTCTTGAAAAATATTCAACTTTCTTCTCTTAATCTGGAACAATAGTTCTTTATCCAGGTTTCCAATTTGCAGGACATACTTCACCATGAGTATCTGTGTATTAAAATGCTTGAATCAATCTTAATGTTTCATCAACTGATCTTCCGACTGGAGCATCATTTATTTGCATTGTTCTTACTATACCTTTCTTATCTATAATAAATAATCCTCTTAATGAAGCACCATATAATTCATCTAATTCATCTTCAACCAAAACACCATATGCTTTTGATATCTTCTTAGATATATCCGCTAACAATGGAATCTATAGATCACCAACTCCTCCTTAGTTTCTTGGTGTTTTCAACCAAGCCAAATGAGTGAAATGAGAATCTGTTGATATACCTATAACTTCTGCACCCAAAGCTCTGAATTAATCAACTGCATTTGAAAAGGCAACTAATTCTGTAGGGCATACGTATGTAAAATCAAATGGGTAAAATAATAAAACCACATACTTTCCTTAATAATCAGAAAGTGATATCTTTTGGAATTTCAAATCTGGAGTGACTGCTATAGCACTAAAGAAAGGAGCTCTTTATCTTGGCAACAAATTCATATTTCCATATGCAAATCTTGCTACTGGTGTATCTTATGATAAACATATGGTAAGTAGAAGCAACAAAGGCAATACCTTAATCATTATGATTATTAATGTAAGAATTGTAAGAATTTCTCGATAAATAGAAAGATTTGAATTTCAAAATGCTTGAAGATATGCTATCATCATAGAGTCTTCAAATACATAATCTTTCCATGGGACTGAAATCTTTTTAGCATTGCTTAGAGAATTTTAGATCAAAAGATAGATCTAGAAACAAGAACCTTTTCAAATTGTATAGCAATGATGAAGCAACAATCTTTATTCATCTAGAAAAAGATATTTAAAACTTATATTGCAAATCTGATTTCACTCTAGCAATCTCTTTAAGAGATTATTCTGGCCATTTGGCAAAAAATGAAGAATACACTGTTTATATCAAATTGTACCCTATTCCATTAATGAAGATTTTCAGCGGACAAATTTCCTAAAGAAATCACCGTCAATTCCAAAGGAAAGCCAATTTTAGTGGGAAAGACTAAATTGTAATTTAAAGGAAAAGGAGAATTTAAAAAGCTATAGATAACAGAAGTTTTATTTGTTTTCATATTTTAGTAATCATCAAATTTTCCTTAAGACAAATTTGCATTAGTTTTATACTCCAACTCACCAGATGTACAGTCTTTAATATTAGAAAATATTGTAGTATAAAAGAAAAAATGAAAAAAATTATTTTTTTTAATAAAATTAATCAATGGATCAAGATGCTCTCTTTTTCAAAGCAATTGCTTAATGTTACTAGTGTTGGGAACTCAATCCTGAGTCATCTTGCTATTCAACTTGTGCAAATGAATACTTAATTTATAAAAAAGGGTTATCATTAATATAAAATCAAAACAATATATGCTTAGATGCATGTTAAAATGAAAAAAAATGCATTTAGAAGTGTGAATCAGAATTAAATAATAATTAAAGATCATTATAAAAATTATTAAATAGAATTCAACCTAAGTGATACTTTACATAATTATAATTTTATATATTTAATCATTATTCCACTTTGAATTTCAAGCATTATAATTCATTCTTTTATTTATTGAAAATGATTACCAAAGATTCATTATTTTAAGAAGAATCTCATTTTGATTCCAATATCTCAACTATTAATTGTCATTAACTTAAATATTAAAATGCTTTTCATAATTTAATTGTTATTTCCCTTTATAATTCAGAATAAAATGTTGAAGATCAAGTAATACAGAAAATTATGTTGGAAGCTCAAAAATTATCCAAAAATACTTATATATTAATTTAGACAAGGAAGGATTTTAGTGATATTCACTATTTTATTTTACTCTTTGATCATTATAATAATCTTTGTAATGTTAAATAAGGAATGGAAATTTATGTTAATGGAAAATTTAATCATGATAACACAATTTATTTTAAAAAAGAAACTAAAAATGATTAATTTTTTGTATTTGAACCAAAAACTTTAATTTCAGCAACAAAATTAACTAATATAAGTTTTTGCAGAAGAAAACAATTTGTTAAGGAATTAATCAAAAATTAAAGTTTTGGTACCAATTTTAATCAATTAAGAGGTAAATTTTTGCATAGTTTATTTTAACTTATCATTCAATCAATTAATGATTATAAGGATTATTTTTATTACTTAGATCAAATAGATATAAATAATTTGGATTCAATTTAGTTGCCATAATAATTCAATTTATTATTGGAATAAATTCAATAATAATTTTTATAAGATATTTATACTTTAAATAATCAATCAAATGAATATGTAGAAACAGATATAATATAGGAGTTAGTTTTATAAGGGTTAATTAATTCTTTTATATGGATTAAAAAATTCGTGATTAATCAATAACCAATTGAGCACTCAACTTTTTAATAAAATAAATTAAAAATTTAATTTCTTAAATGGATTGCCAATGAAAAAAAAATCTCATCATAAATTTTAGGATTGGTAGGAGTGATTGATGTGGTTCTGGAAGTTAAAGTGATTATAAATAATTCTGTAGAAAAATTTTGTAAAATACCGATTGAAATCAAAACTGGTTTATAACATTAGTCTGATGAAACTTAAGTTTAAGTTTACTTACTTTTAATGAATCATCTATATAAATAGGAAACCTTATTTGGAATTATATTATACTTAAATGAATTAGATTATAAAATCGTTACTTATAATTAGTTTTTGAAAAATGATTTGTTGTTTTCTAGAAATCTATATATATCATAATTATGTTAATTTTTAAAAAAAGATATTGATTATAATCATTTACCTCATCTAAGTTAAGAAATAAAAAATGCCCAAGAACAATCTAAATGCTAGAAATGTGGAATAAAATATGTATGTTATGGTTTAAATGTATTAAAAAAATAATCTTAATTAAATTTTCCCATTGAAGATTATTAACAAATTGATAAATAATTAAATGAATAAACTAGAAATTATCTCAATAATATGCTTTAAAATTTAAGATTAGAAAAGTAAGCTTTAATTATTTCATAAATTGACTTTGAAATCAAATAAAAATAAAAAATTAATGAATCATGTGAAACACATTATATTTTATCATCAAAAATCACTTTTTTTAAAGATCAAGCTCTCTAAATTTTAAAAGAATACTTTTCTTATAATGAAGAACTGGCTCTATTTTGTAGTAGAACACAAAAAAGTTATTATTTTAACTTAAAAACCCAACCTAATATTATTTTAAAATATTTATTAAATTAGACCACAACAGACGGAATTATATTAGAAGAGGACCTTTAATATGTAATTCGTATGCATGTTCAAGTTAAAAAAGAATAAAATATTTTTTGGGGCTCTTTAGAACTAGAAGATATATTAACTAAGCAAATTTAATTATATAATCCTTTTAAGCATTATAACTTTATTATATTTGAGATTGCTGCAAATAATAGATGGAAAAGAAAAAAAGAAATACTTATATTAGGGTATACTCCTTATTTTAAAAGTCTAACATAACTTTATGAAGGTACACAATAAATATTTGCATCGCTTTTAGATGAACTTAAATCCAAATTGAATGAATATTAATTGAAAGCTATTTAATTATGTTTATTATCAGAAGATTTTGCTTTAATTTAAGGAGATTATGGAAAAAGAAGAATGTTAAGCCATTTATTATATTTATTAGGATACACAAATAAAAAAGTATTATTTTGTGCTGCTGATAATGAAGTTTTGGATGAATAAATAAATGATTTTATTGAAACTTTTCCAAATTAATCTGATTGGATTTTAAGATTATCAAATGAAAATGAAAAAGATAAAATAAAAGAAATTCATAAAAAATATTCTTTTGATTTTAAACATTATAAAGATTTATCAGAAATAGATAAAAAATTAGAAAATAAACATTTTTATTTTTCAACTTGTTTAAATTGTACTGATATTTTATAATCAGAACCATTTGATTATTGTATTGTAGATTAATCAACTAAAATTATTGAACCATTATGTATTTCTTGTATTCTTAAAAGCAAAGTATTTATATTATTAGATGATTCAGAAATGCAATAACCATAAATTAAATCATAAAAAGCTAAATTATTAAAAATTAGTTTATTTTAAAGATTATCAGAATAATTTAAAAAT